CCCTATGGCGCACAGGCAAGCCACCGCCGCCGCGCCGCCGCAGACTTGCAGTTATTGACAAGCGGCAAGCCATGTCTTTGCCTCGTGCCTCACGTAACGGACGGTGTCCGAAGTGCTGGCCCAGGAAGACCCTCGAGAGGCCCTGGCGCGTTTGGCTACTCCAACCTTTCATGTCCAAGCTAACAAACTCGAGCTTGCGGGGTTTTCGACCAACACTGATCTCCATCTGCCACTTGTCACTTACGGCAGGATGAACGATGTAGTGCGCGGTGTACCAGCTCCAACTTTCAGCGTTCCCCTCGCCAGCAATGGCTTATTCTTAGTACCGTCCGTTGCCTTCGACCTTCCCCTTTCCGACGGCGTTTGATCGGCTCCTTGATAGAAAGAAGACAGGACGACAAGACACAGACGCTGGCCAGGTGCACAGAAGCTCACCCACACCGCGTTGCAGGGATAGCTCTACCTTAGAAAATGCTGATCCGTCCCGGCCCCGGCGCGTTGGTGCGTGGGATCGCTGGCCGGCCAGTTGCGTCTCCTACACCAGGCCGTCACTGCTTTGATGTATCCGTATTTTGCCTCCGTTGTTAGCCCACAGTGCAGGCAAAGAGAAGTGTAGAGCTTACTTGTCGACCGTTGACCTTATTATCACGGGGATGGTACCTTCTCACTGGCTTATCCCCCTGAGTCTCGAGTCTCTCAGCTTCGCGTCTCTTAATCGAGGATCAAGGCTTAGAAGCGTTACAAGCCCATCAGACTTGTTTTGCATTACCTTCCAGAAAATCATATCTCGCCAGCTATACCTTCTCTCCTCGATTTGGGGACCATTATTGCCCCTACCCACCCACCTTACGACGACCATCATATCACGAGCATCTTCATGCTTCTCCCCGTCAACCTCCATCACCCCTGACCCTCACGCATTACCACACTGGCCCCGAATCTTGTCATTCTCCAAAGGCTCTTCACTTGACATTCCCAAGCAACATCCAGGCATACAGCACCACCAGGCCGGACTGGCCAAGCCTTGCTGCCTTCCCACATCAACCGCAGCCCGCGGCAGCAATAACACTACTCTGCACAAACTCTTCAGTAACTGTTCTTGTCTCTCTGGCCCTCGTCATTATATTCGATTCTCCTTCAGTTCTGGGACTCCCGTGTCCTGACACGCTCTATCTGGGTGGCCCCAAATTTAACTCGAGATCCCTCCAGCCAGCTCAGGAAAAGTGCCTCCTTGAAAAGACCCGACATTGACTAACACGCCGAGATATACTGGGCCGCTTTCCGCACCTCAATCTTGGTCCCGGCTCTTTCTTTCTCAAATACAGAGTCAAGACAACCTTGAGCCGACTGCAGTACATCTCCTCCGGTTCCGTTGCTGGCTGGCTGATCTTGCCCTGGGCAAAGAACGTGGGCAAGTATATTTTTTTTTTTTTTTGGAAGGAAGCCCATTTGTTGCCGCATAGCGGTTCCGTCGGCCTTGGGCCTGTCAAATCCGTCACATTCCACCCTGCCACTAGCAGCAACGAGCTCACCAGACCCTTGCTACATCACGCCTGTTGCGTGGCCGGTGGGCACAGCCGGCCGTATTCTTTTGCGGCAACGTGCAGATTCCCGCTCCTGCAAAGCCCCCCCGGGCCAATCTCAGCCCCTAGCCAACAGCCCGGAGAAGAGTCTCGAATTGGTCGATAGGCGTTCGACGGTTCGACAAGCACGAGGGCCCCAGTTCGGATACCAAGCCTTTCCCTTGACACAGGGCTTTCGAAGCCTTCCAACGCCTCACGTTTGAGAAACCTGCCAGCACTGAGCAGCGGCCGGTTGGTTGTACATTCCTCTGACCTTGTCTGCGCCAGTCCATCGACGTCGTTCGGAGAGATAAAACGTCAGTAGGGGATTCGGTTCTGTCACCGAGATATGCTTATTGCGTCTTTGTGTCAGCAGTAGAAGCTCCACGTGCTTGGCCGTTGCAGAAAACCGCGGACAAGCCGCTACGTCGCCGCGGAACACCACCTTGTAGCCCGCAAACATTCTGACGTTCATCAATAGCAGCTCAGCAAAATAGTCTGGAACACAGAAGCTTGGCTCAAAGTCAACCGTCAAATTTGGTGCGTATGCCACATGTTTCATTCGTCTCGTTCTTCCCCCGTCTGGAGCCGGAATATGTCCTTGTTCCTGTCCATATCGCCAACGCCCCATCTTCACCCGGCCCGGGTATCGGCTAGTCGCCCGCCCTTAACCTCGACCGTTAGTTAGCACAGCCACGGACATTACCTTATGCCAGATTTTATGACAAGATCGGGACGCGGTTGCGTGGCCAAGGCCATGCCTGCCCAAACACCCAATCGACTCGTAGTCTCATCGCGGCCAGTAGCAGCGAAATCCCCCGATGATCATTGTTCGATAGCTCCCGACGAACGGCTTAGCGGCCCCTTCTCATCAAGCGCACGTCCATCGCCCAGGCTGGTTATGGTCGGCTCGTCTGTCGGCTGTTCTGTTGCGGCGCTGCCTCCAGCCTGGCCTCACAGAACAGAGAGGATGATGGCGAGACGAGGGGCATATGCAAAGAGGAGAATGGAAAGCACCTGAACCAAGTTGGCCCATCTGCACGCTGCTGCAAAGATTGCTGAGAGGATTTCTCGATGCACATCATGTCCTAAAATAGTCGCCCTCAGCCCACAACACCAAAGTGTCAGTGGTACAACCCGAAGGAATGCCGGTCGATTCTCAACAGCTCCAACAACAAGTCTCCTGCAACCGAGTGCAGAAGCGGAAGAGTTTCCTGCAGATTTTACCTTAGCAAGCCAACCGAACCAGCGACGGGCTCTCTACACCCATCCACATTGTACCCCAACACCCTTTGCATCTTACCTCGAAGCCCTCTCTCCTCTTCCCAAGTTCTTCCCCCTCTAAGCATAGGTGAGGGTCGCATAAGGGCAAATTTCACCTACATACGTACGTGCCTCCCCAATCCCAGAGCCCGTTTTCCTTTGGATCAGGATCTATAGCGGCTTCTCCTGTCTTGGTACGGCCCACCTGTTGCAAAATTCCCGACGAGGGAGCTCGACGCGTGGTACCCACGATCATACAAGTCAAGCCATATCGACTTATTAGCCCCCTTTCAACCCGAATCCTTGTCTTGGGGACCATCAACGTTCACGGCTCACATTGCCCCCCCTGCCTCCTGCGCAAGAGGTTGAGAAAAGCACCCCAGCCGAGTCCAAGTGGGCTTGCTCGACGGGAAATGCCATTGAGTCGCGGCACAGCGACCTTATTTTCGAAGCTGTTGCCGATTCGCCATCACCAATCCTTGGTGTCGACGCTTAAAAGCAGGGATCATGGGGTTTCCTGGTGACTTGTCCGAGGTTCCTGGACCCCCTGCTCTCTTGAACCGGGACCCTGGCATCCCAGCAGCGCCCACTCTCCGGTCGAAACACGTTAGTTACTTTGGTTGATGAGCATCTTCCACAGCCCTGTTCTTCCTCCTTGCTTCCTGGGCCCGGCGGCAGCAAGGATCCCGTCCAGCCCTCCACCACTCTCCAGAGATAATATTTCCGATTCTGCTTTCAAGGCGCGGAGAGCCCCGGATCCAGTCCAGACCTAACGCCTCGAGGGCACCGCAAAACATCGTCACTAAAACCTCCGGCGGTGTTGTACCCGTCGAGTGACATGACGGCCCAAGACCACCATACCTTGCCTTGCCTTAGCCTCCCTTGTCCGTCAACCTTACCCGCTTCCTCGTTGCTCCGACTAGACGCCGCTTGCTATTCGTCTTTTACATTTCTGCCACCATCCCGCAGAGCCACACAGCTTGTCATTCTTTACATCTCTCTCTACCTTCCGCCCAAGCTACATCTTGTGCTTGTTTCTCCTACCGGCTTCCATCCTCAACGACCCCACGCTGCCCTCTTTCGTTTTTGACTACGCTTGCCTAGACTCGCTCGTGTTCGCTGCTTGCATATATCATACAAGCCGACAGCCCTCTCGACGGATTACGAAGAGTCTATCTGCTAATCAAGCTGTTGCGTAACAGATGCCATTTGGTGTCAGCATCTTCGACAGTTGTATCAGACAGCACGGCAGCCGTGCCTCTTTCTCGCCTGCTCTGCAATCCTGTACTCAAAAGGCGGAGTTCAGACAAGCAAGTAATTGGGCATTGGGGATCTAGCCGGCTTTGGGTCACACAGAGCTACAGCACTACGGGTACTCTTCAACATCGCCAAAGATAACCGCTGTGCACTCGTTGCCCGAACGAGAAGAGATACGAATCTTGGACAGGCTCAACTCGCAGAACAAGGCACTGGCTCTCCCGGAGGATACCGCATTGCGCACCAAATACTTTTCTCCGAATTCTTAGCCAAGCGTTTGGTCCAGTACGGCAACCTTCCAACCGCAAGAGTCGACAAACCGTCTGTATGTTCGTGGAGCGCCGTTTGCCTGCCGTCCACCGACTTGGGGAGCCTGTGGAGTCTTCGTTGAATCAGACTCGCGAGCACTGGTCCGTTGAACCGCGCTCCGCCATGGCTGCGTCGTCGCACAACCCATATCCACGATCTCCTAATCCCTCCACCAGGTCGTACGACTCGTCTTCAGTCTCCTCTGCCACATCTCCGAGACAACCTGCCCAGTACATCCCACGAGGTCTGATGAACACTGGAGCGAGAACAACTGCGGCACCACCTCCTCAGCCCATTGGTATCCCACCTTTACCGCCGATGAACCAAAACGCCTTTACGCCCTACACACCAGTGACTGCTGGCTCAATGATGGGCCGCGACTCTCTGCCATCGGCCGATTCCGTGGCAAGCACACCTGGCCCGTCAACAGCTTCACTACCCCCAATTTCCCAAGCCCAGAAGAGGGCGTACAGGCAGAGAAGGAAGGACCCGAGCTGCGATGCATGCCGTGAGAGAAAGGTCAAATGCGACGCTACAGAGACAACGAGCTGTTCAGAGTGTTCAAGCCGCAATGTCAAGTGCCAATTTACGAAGGAGACTAACCGACGGATGTCCTCGATCAAACAGGTGCAGGACCTAGAGAAGCAGATGGAACGCCTCAGGCGGGACAATACCAACTTGAAGAGAGCGCTCCAGGAGCGAGACGGTGCGATGGACGTAGATCCGGATGGTCTTGATCAGTTTCCCCTTCAGCTACCGGAGCTAGGAGCAGATATCAAGCGAAGGAAGCGGCCAGCCCCTATTCACGACTTGGCGCGGGCAAGATCGAACATGCGCATTTTCTCCAAAGGCATCTGGAAAGCACCTGCTCAGTACCGCCAGGCACCTTCGACGCCATTGTTCGACCCTCAGAGACCTGATTTGCCTCCCAGGCAGACGATTGATCAGCTCCTACACACGTACTACGGCTCTGCGCACACCATGTTTCCTATCCTTCATTGGCCAACGTTTCAGATGGGAGTCGAGGACCTCTACAGAATCGGCAACACGAAAACCGTGCAGCCGGCATGGTTATCGACATTCTTCGCGGCTCTGGCACTCGGCAGCCTCTTCAGTCAGGATCCCCATCGCGCATTTCGGGCGGCAGAACTGCTGGAAGTTGCCAGGGGCATGATCGACCCTTGGAACAACGACTACGTCCTCGACAATGTACGCGCGCTGCTTCTCGTTACTCTTTGTCTGAACGAGATGAACCAGAAGTCAGCTGCCTGGACGTGGCTGGGCACGGCAGTACGAGCTGGACAAGACTTGGGACTCTACTCGGAATCCGGACCGTGGCCTGTGATTGAAGGCGAAATGCGACGGCGAGTATGGTGGACGATCTATATCCTGGACAGGAGTCTAGCTCTCGACCTTGGGCGGCCAGTGTTGATCGACGACACTGACTGCGACGTGTCGCTCCCTGCCCCGGTGGACGACCATTACATTCACGAAGGAGGCATTATGGTTCCTCCAGGCCGCGAGCCCCTGAATCACTCTCTCTTGGCTGTGATTAACGTTGTCAGGTCATACTCTTCTTTGATCAAGACACTGGCTGCCCCGATTGTGGTACCCACAAGGCTCGCAACCTTCGAGACGCACTTCAACTCTTGCCATGCACAATTCCCTCAAGTGTGCGACACAGCCAGTACAGGGCAAATATCGCCTCACCTCCTGACGCCCTACAACTACCTTCTCCACGCTCGTCTCGCATTACACCGCCACAACCTGGCTCCGACCTGCCCGTCCGATGTACGTCTTGCTGCCATAGAGCAGTGCACTCACATTGCTCTTGAAACAGCATCGCTCCTCTCGCGTGCGACCCCGACCCTTGCAGACGGCGCTACTGCCCTCCTCACTACCCACACCTTCCGCTGTACCCTCTTCCTCCTTTTGGCAGGATACTGGGACCATGCAACGACGTGTCTGCGTGCTCTAGCGACCATAGACTCGAAACGTGATGTTGCCATCCCCTGTGGACGGTTCCTCGCCTTCTTCATATCTACACTAGGCACAAAGCGCACCGAATATGCGGCATTTGTTGCCCGCACGACGCCTCCGAAACCTTTCGCCCCGCCTCCTCCTCCCCATGGCCGTTCCGGACCTACCCCGCTGCAAGAGGCTCTGTTGCAGGACGAAGAGCTCCTGGCATACGTCAGCGCCGATCTGCAGGCGGCGCCAGACTCGGCCTGGGTCTGGGCTGGCGGGGAGCGCGAGGCCATCCTCTCCCCGACCTCCCCCGGATCGATTACAGCTTCTGGCGGTGCCAGTAGTGGGCTTTTCAGCGCTGAGCAAAGAACTGGCTTGAGCGAGGAGGAAGTCAAAGAGTGGGGAGGATGGGATCGCCTTGAGGCGGCCTTGCGGGGGCTTGCCTCGGGCAACACGACGCCCACGCCGACATCCGCGACTTGGACGTCTGCTCTTCCCGCCGGGATCAAGACCGAGGGCACGCCGACGTTGCCGAGCATAATGCCGGGCCCCGGCGAAGGCAGCAGCACCAACAGCCCGACAACGAGCACCAAGGGCCGGCCCCAGGACAGGTTGAGCATCGCAAACATCATCTAAAGAGATATTTGGGGTTTCGAATCGAACCTCACCCTCTCTTCTCGAAGCGGCTCGATCTTGCACAGCTCGGGGCAGGCCGGTGGATCGGAGCTCCTATCGATAGGGGTCCCCAAAAGCTGCATAACAACCACTTCTTGATGTTACATTACATCAAAACAACACCAGGCAACAAATCATGACTGTTCACGAACGTCACGGAAATGAAGCCATGTAGACCATGTCAGGCCCCTGCAAATGGGTCTTTGTCATGATGGTCCCATGACAGTAAGCCGGATTCGAAGAAAGAACTCCGATGTACGATAATGTGTTGACGCGAGTGGCTTCCAACGCCTTCCTCGCTCGACTTCTCTCTCATCAAGTATTACTTTGCTCCGATCATTCCTTCTTCTCTCTTTTTCTTCCATTATTTGGACCACAACAAACTCTGAGCGGGCGTAGCCATACAGGCCCCCCTCAAACCATTCGTTAACACCTTAATGTCTGCACCATCTTAACAGCAAGGGGCGAGAAGGGCGGAGGTACGGAAGTCGGCCAGAAGCTTATTCCCGGTTGCTTTTTTCCTCTTTTTCTCTTTGTTCACGGCCCGGTTCGCTGGATGACCGCGCCTGGGTAATAAAAAAAAGAAACAGGAGTTGCAAACACTTCGAAAAGAAAAGGGTTATGGCATAGGGATGGGTTTTCGTAATGGACGCGGCACAGCGAGGAGGCGCAGGGGAAGGATGGGGAAGAGGCCGGGCCTTTTTTTCCTTTGGTGCAATACCCAGCAGAGAGGATGAATTGGGGCTGGAATCGGTCTGAATTGGGTGACTCTTCTTTTTTTGTTTTTTCTTTGACATTGTCTATATGGCATATCGTTGCTTGTTCATCCTTTTTCCACCATTTTTCTTGTTACTGAACCACAGGCTTGCAAAAAGGGGGGTTATGTTGTTGTACGGAGAGTTTGGGAGGGAAAGACGAAGGTGCAATGCGCCCGAAACCTTTTTTCTTTGCACAAAGGAGACTTTTTTTATGTACAAATGAAGCAAGAAATGAGCCTGGGGACTCGCCGAGGCATGGTACTCGCGAGGTCTTTTTACTACAGGCCATGATGAACAGTTCCTTCTTCCCCTGGGCCGCTACTGGATTGTGAGAAGGGATTGTGCCGATATCTGGAGAAGTTGGATGGCTTCATGGTTCACGCCATATTCTAAGATTGGGGACGAGCAACTCAGGACTAATCACAAGGGACTTCATTTGACCAAGGTAATTACTGCGACTTTCGGGCTACCCGATTTTGCAGTTTGAGCTGCCTAGGTGGTTATGCTGGGAAAGTGCTGCAAAATCTGCCAAACAGCCTCAGGATGGTCTCAGTGAGATGATGGGATTCAGCGTCGAAGATTTGGCTACCGATGAAGTGGCAGGGAGGAATCCTCTCGGAAGCACACCAAACTGTCAAAATCGCAACATCAATAATGAGCGAACTCGGCAGCGACTCTGTTCCAATCCTCTTGGCAGCATGCCGGCTTGGCAACCGCTCTGACGGCTTGTTTATCCCTCTTCCCAGGTTCCAGTCCCCTCCAGCGCCATCGATAACTCAAATCATTTTGTCTAGGCACTTCAGACCACCTGTGGAAACGAGGCTCTTCCATACCTATGTGATCGCCGGGTTGTCTTTTCAAATCCTGGGCTTTCCCTGGGAGAGAAGGGGAGGCGCAGGCGGGGGGGGGGGGGGCTTGAGTTGAGAGCTTCACTTTGGAGAAAGGCGGTGGTGCCTCGCACTTCTGACAAGAGCTGGTGACACGTGTGTCGTTACACCAGGGACCAAAGTGACAGTTTACGAATCGTGAAGATGGATACTACGTAGTTGGTTACACTGGGTCTAGAGCTCTTGAATCGTGGTGCTGCTGCGCCTCTCTGTCTCTACGTCTTGAAGAGAACCTGTCCGCACCGACCGCCGCGGCGGAAAGCTTCATCGCGTGTTTCCTTGAGTTTGACAATAGTGACAGGTCTATCCCGTAGCATGATCTACAGACTACATAGCTCCCGACTGCCACCCGTCGCTCCATGAGAGAGGGGGACTTGGGCGGAGGGGAGGGGTTACTGCTAAGACTGTAAGGGAATTGGGGACCAGAGAGCCGGGGAGTCCACCCAAGGAGAATCTGCAGATGGAGAGAGAGGGGAGGGGGAGCTCGGGGAGGGTGGTATCGTCTTCTCTAGGCGTCGCTGGGATGGGAGGCTCAGTGATGCTACGTGACCACTGTGACACTCTGGCACCACGAGGGGCCCGCGAGCCAGCGATTGAAGGTAGTAAGCATCACCCTACTTCACTTTACTGATCCTCCACCTGCAATGTGTGATGGTGGTGCCCTGACTAGTGAGCCAAGTCTCACGGTCGTTGCGGGAACCGGAGGCAGATGCGTGTCATACTTGACACAAGGATAGCATGGGGAAACCTTCTTTTTCTTTCTTCTCTTTGGGATCTAAAGCCAAGTCTTGCTGGGAATGGATATGTAATGTTGTCCAGACTTGGGGGGAGGGAGGGGGGGGGGAGGGGGTTGCCTACAATCTACATAGCCTCAAGACTTTGTTAGTTCGGTTCAACCTTCCGCAGCAGTCCATCTTGAACGTTGCACATCCTCCACCACTCGACTTTCCAACGCGAACAGTGTCGAGATGGAGAGTCCCGGCTTTTTTTTTTTCTCCTCTTCTTTGGACGGGTATTCCCCGGTGCCATGTGCTTTACATTGCTTCCACTGACCAAACTTCAAGGTCTTTCGGCTCGGCTATCATCTTCCGCCCGTCTTGGGGGCGGAGACTGTCCGATTAAACGAGAACGAACCTCACGGTCCCTTCCTGAACCCCTCCTCCACCTGCCCATTTTGACTCACTCAGATCTCCCCCGCCGCCCACACCACCATCCCAATGCTCACGGTAGAAGTCTACACTAGAGAAGGGGAGGGGAGGACCCGCTAGTTTAAACTTGGTGATCCCCGGGAGCCCGGGCCGGCGATGATTGTGACGGGGTTGATGCTAGAGGATTTGCGTTCCGGGATGATCAGCAGCAGCTATCCTAGCTATCCTAGCGTGCCTTTTGTCAGATTCAGTGTTTGTCTCGCTTATTTCGTAGCCTGGACCCTTGATCGTCGATATCTACGCTCTGACCTTTGATGATTGTTGTTTTACCAGGTCGCTTAGGTCGTTTGTGGTGTTGGGTGCTGATGTGTGTGTGTGTGGAGGGAGGATGGGAATGGAGACTTGCGAGAGGGGCTATGGGGATCTCAAACTTCTTGTAAGAGTGTTGCGATTTGCATTTGCCCGCGGGTTAGTTCTGCGGTGTGGCGAAGCGTGTGAGAGATGGTGATGGTTACAGTCAGCCTACCTTGACCCCTTCACCTGGTTTAGACCAAGAGTTTGGTTTTGTCATCTTGACTAGATAGTGCCACTGTATTGTGAGGACGTCATTTATGTAATTCGCTCGTATGATGTCGACTTTGCGCAGGGATGGCCAGTGGTCGCGTGCTCGTGTCAGTGATGGATCGTGAACCATGCTTGCGATTTTTGCGCATGTTAGTCAGTGTACACGCGAGGGCGACGATGTTTGTGACTTTGAGATTGCGCTGGGTCTCTTCTGAATTGCGACTCCGTTTTTGTGTGATCTACTGAGTAAGAATAAGTTCCTTTTTTTTTTTTTTTTTTTTTGGCTATTGTTTCAGGGGGACAAAAGAGCTGGCCTCAGGAAAGTGAATCAATCTCTCAAAGTTCAGAGGAAAAGGGAAAAAAGAAAGTACCCGAAGAATGGCTTTGCCAATCGCAGTGAGGATTTGAGCCTCACGCGGGGGTCGAACCCGCAACCTTGAGATTAAGAGTCTCACGCTCTACCGATTGAGCTAGCAAGGCGGGTCTTGTAAATTGGTTGAGTGGGCCACCAAGTTTACGACCTCAGTACCTTGCGGCTCGAGCTGCCCGAGCCGCGCCCGCGACGGATCCACGCCGAAAGCTCCGTTCTTCCGATTCCTGGCGCGGAAGGGGCGGGGCCGGGAACAGCCAGGCGCGTGGTTCAATGGCCCTTCGTTCCGGTGGGCGAGCCGCGGCGTCGGGCCTCTTCCTATTGCTTGTGAGGTTGCTCTCAAGATGGCTGGCCTGCTAGTTCTCTATCACGGCCTTTGCTCAAGCGCTGTGCTTTAGCATCTCTGTTAGGCATGGTAGGCGAGGGAAGGCTGTATTAGAAAGCTGTGATGAAAGTCAAGTCTTGAAGTCCCAGGAGCTAGACAAAGTTTTCCACGTTCCAGAAACGGTCAGGTTGGGTTGAGGGCCGGCCCTTGGGTTTATAGATAGCCTGCCTTCAAATTCCTGCGTGTTGATGGATGTGGTGTAAGGAACACCTATTTGTCTTCTATGTATCACAGCAACGGTAAACGGCGATTCTTTGTCCGCAACTTTAACCTCCTCTAGCTTGTATCTTTCGTTAAACTTCTGCAAAGTAATCTTTGACATTCGTCATTGTCCTTGAAGAATAACCATGACCGCACGCGCTCCACGTCTATAGTCTTCCAACTGGGCGCTCAAAAGTTTCACTTTCTTTAGCTTGTCAAGTGAGCTGACCTTTTCTTTATATCCGTCCTTGTCCCATACAGCCTCGTACACAGTTGCGATAACGAACCCGCCAGGGCGGACAATCCTCACAAACTCGTCAAAAGCTTCGGGTCCCACGTGACCCTCAGTCATAGTACCGACGCAAACGACGACATCGTAGTAGTCAGAGGCCTGCATCAAAGGCTTGGAAAGGTCTGTAGTGCTCAGAGACTGGTACGCACCAGATCTCTCAGCGACCTTCAGCATCCCTTGACTGAGGTCTATGCCATCTATCTGCGTGGCTCCGAGCTTCGCGAGATTGACTCCGACAAGGCCTGTTCCGCACCCAGCATCTAGGATTTTCGACTTTGCAATGGCAGACGGACCGACATACTTGACCACATGTTCGCTGGCAAGGACTGGTGCGATGTAATCTTGGTCTGCGCCTAGCAAGTCGCGATTGTAATTCTCGGCCCAGTCGTCGTAGAGGGATTGTGCCTCCGCGACACTGGTCAAGTTCAAGGCGCGCTCAATGGACATGCTGGCGAACAACGATCGGCGATGACCTCTTTCTTGAGTAGCTGGTCAAAAGCGGGAGCTTAATAATGTCAGGAAGGGGAAACTGCTGTTGATGGTGGAAAGTATTGTCTCACGCCGTCAAGGATGTCAAATGTTGTAATATTATCAAGCAACATTTCGACACCAAGCGAGAATGACGTTGAGTAGTGCAACCAACAAATTGTAAGATATCTTACTACATGCTGATTGGCGCTGCTTTCCACCTGAGCACGTGTTGAAAGCAGATCGACAACTTCCTACCCAGTAAGGATCACTCTAAGATCCTTTACTAATCCCATAATTAACTTAGCACTCACTGAACCTGGGGAAGTCCAGTTAGCGCCACCATGTGGCTAGCTCCTGCTGACTGATTCTTGTTGCACCGGCTCTTCGGACTTTCGGAGCATGCGGGGTCGGTATGTTCGTGGCTTACATGAGACACCGCCATAGGACTTTCGCACTTTGCGACAACATGACGATCCAGGGGGGAATTCGGAACTTGTTTTCCTATACTCATAGTAATTGTAAATTATTGACATGTGTGACTATTCAAAAGCCAACGTGGCGTCAGGATCGGATCTTTAAATACCAAGGCCATACTTCCGATCAGACACCATTTGTTGTTGGTGCAAGCTACCCATCCTCCTTTTTCACAAGACTTTACAATTCTCCATCTACGACAAGAAGAAGCTTTTATCCACACCAAGGCACCCACTAAACATTGGTCATAAAATCTGGCTTGACACACCCCATCCTTCACAATCATGCCAGTCTACCCGAGAAACCAGAGGCCCCTCCACGCAGCTCTTGCTGCGGACAGACAGCGTGCTTTTGAAAAAGTAAAGACGAAGGCCACAATAGCCGAAAAGACAGGGTACGGCTTCGGCGATCGTAACGACTTGAAGACACAAGACAACATGGAGGTGATCGGCACTAGAAAAGCCAGAAAGTGGCTCGGTAGCTTCCATATAACCTCGAAGACCTCAAATGGAACATCAAAACCTTGCACATTAGACTACCAAAGCCTGTGAAGAGCAGGCTCTATTTACGATCATGAGTCGACATTCTACCACTTTAAGCCATCACGTGCGGTATAAATGCCTTTCAGCAAGCCTGGTGATGCACCAACGAGCAAAAGTCGAAGTCGTGGACTCGTGGCCGCAAGTGCTCGACAGACGACTGCAACATGACCGACATGTGCACGAACACTTTCGAGTTTACGACGGCATCATTGCCAGCTTCATAAAACTACTGCCAGCAATAATTACATGGAATCATGCGAAGAATGACTGAAGGAACATTAAGGTGTTGAAGGGCGTGATGACGAGTGCCTCATCACTATGTTGGGATTGACCATGAGACAGGGCTGATCGCGTTCATTTCACGCACAGGAAAGCCAGCGGCCGGCGCTATGGGTATTCACCAATAGGTGACACTTTCGGCTGTTATACTGCTGGTCAGGAGTTACGGGAAAGTGGCCAGGGGACCGGCCCCTACGGGCGTGGGTGTAGGAATTTTCGTTGCAGTTTTATTGTTTCATACCCCGATCTCAGGCTTCTCTAGGACAAGACTGAAATGCTGAGAAAAGATGTCATTGTAAAATCCGATATGCTCCAGCGGGAATCTTCATCTCCAAACGCCTTTGCCCCTAATAAACGTTTGTGTCGGAGACTCCTCCCTAGTTTAGGATGACTCTACTTGAATAACTAAGTCTCTGGCAAGATATCGTGTAATAACCAAGATGAGATATTTATCCCAAACCACGGAAAGCCTTTTAGTGTATGGAGCACGTAGGCCTCATAACTCTCGCCAGTTTCTCCTTCATCGGATTCTGTCTTGCATCTACTCTTCTACAACCATTTCTATCAGGTTTTTGTGCCAGTTGATAAACAGGGTCGCGATTCTTACCTGGTCCTGGCGACAGCCAACTCTCGGTCCAAAACTCCATCGGGCGCGAAGTGTTCGTAGAAACCTCTCATACTATTGCCAATCCCTTCACATCCCAGCATCCTGCCGACGCTTTCTAGCCCATACTTCCTCATTTTCATTCGACTCTCGGGACGAAGCTCATCTTCGTAGTATTCCCAGGTCTCTTCGCGCGGCCGCCAGTACACTGTTGTGAAACTGCCAAAAGAACTTCGTGTATTCTCATCTTCGGGTTGGGTCACCCTATCGTCACAATCAAAAGCGTCCTCCCAATTGTCCTCTAGTCGGTCGATCACGATGATGCTGCGGGAATACCACTCATTTCCAAAGTCTTCGGGGAGGAACCAGAACTTGGCGTCATCTACATTGTCCATTACTGCACGGCTGCGAACTTCGTGCCCGTGATGACGAATGCAGGCCTTTGCACGCTCCTCGAAGGTCAAATGGGATGGGAGAGGGAAGCACACGACCTCTATCCTGTCCCGTCCCCATTCGCAATTGTGATCGTGGGTGCGACGTGAAAGAGCGTGCGCCATCTTTGTGGCCCGGTTTGGGGTTGCTGTTGGTGTGAGATCATAGACCGCCATACCAAAAGGGGCTTGTCCCTGGTACGAATAGTCCCAGTCGTCTGGCTGAGAGGCAACTTGTAGTTTCGAATATGCGGCGAAAATCGGAGTGCCGTCGTGGCTCGGTGCAGGTATTACCACTGTTACAAGTGTCTTGAGCTTTTTACGTCTGGGTGGTACGAACGGTGCTTGATGAGACTGATGCTCATTAACCTCGTCTTCTTCGTTGTCTTCTTCCTCAGAAGGAACGTCCGGGAATGGGTCGTAAGAGAGTCGCTCACAGGCCCGACACATTGTCGCATCACAGTACTTTCAGATGTCGAGTTGTTCAGGCTCGATCAGGAAGAACCTTGAAACTTGAGCTGTATGAAGATGATATGCGGGAATCTCAAAGCAACGAATAATAGGCACACGTGTTGGTCCCTATGTGGAACCACTATGATCGACGCTATCATGAAGTGGGGGCTGGGGCTGGTGCCTAAAGCCCGCGCAACATATCCAGTTAACAGCTGATCGAGAATTAGTCACAGTCCACAGTAATTTGATTGTAGGTTGCCGTAGCTTAGCACGGCCTCTTGGACGAGTCGGTGAGTATCATGCTGTTGTCACGCCTAAATTCAGGTGGGCGCATGTATCAATAGGTAAGTTGATCATGGCGAGACATCGAGCGCGAGGACGTGGTGTAGGTATTACAACCAGAATCCGGCAAGGTCACTTGGGGTTACGAGACAGATAGACTGCGATGGAAGGAGATATAGTTTCAATTAAAGAAGAGCCGTGGAGCTGGATTTTGTAGTGGATTGAAGAATGATGGTACTGTAAACATGCAATCTACTCCACAAGTCACTGCTTGAGATAGAGAACTGGGAAACGTCACACGCTGCCAGATCAGTGATTCCCATTCTACTTGATTGATTGGTCGACAAGGATTACAGGCTAAACAGATGTATGCATCTACCTGTAAAGCGATGTCGGAGTTATTATGCCAGTATTCGTGCGAACGCTTGCAGCTTGTGTGATTGAGGAACGATGGCGTCGAGAGGGCCTTGTAATGACGTGCGGCTTGCCTTATCATCCAAACGCGGGCCAGCAGCAGCGGCGGTTATATCAAGTCAAAGCCAGCGATCATTTGATCGAGAGTGAGGAGTGAGCTACTATAATTCTATGCAGTGGCCGCTAGACATAAAATCGTCATTGCTGCCAGTCTCACATTACATCTCCCATCTGACTCAATTGAAGAAACTCAAACGCAAATCATGTCGGCACCCGCACCACAAAACCCTGTCTTTCACGTTGACCCTAACAAGCTTGAAGCTGTCAGGAGAAAGTATGCCGAAGAAGCACAGAAAAGATTGAGAACAGAAGGCTCTGCACAATTTCAAGCCCTCAACGAAGCCTCAGAAGATCGACTTCATTCGCTTCTAGACGATCCGTGGGCGGATCACGCAACATTGAATGCTAGACAATCGCCATTCCGCGAAACCAAACATATTCGATTCTTCGTCCTTGGGGCCGGGTTCGGAGGACTGCTGTACGCGGTCAACCTCATTCAATCCGGTGTCGCGACCGCAGACGACATCCGAATCGTCGATGCGGCTGGCGGCTTTGGCGGGACTTGGTACTGGCACCGGTATCCCGGACTGCACTGCGACCTCGAGAGCTATTGCTATCTGCCTCTGCTTGAGGAGACTGGCTACATTCCTACAAAGAAGTACGCTCCGGCCGCGGAAATCCGTCGATATGCGGAACTCATTGCGTCGCGATGGACGCTTGACGACAAGACTCTGTTCCGGTCTGACGTGCAGAGTGTGCAGTGGAATGACGACAAGGAGCTCTGGAATATCAGTCTCTCAGAGAGACGTGGTCCTGGAGAACCTGTGATTAAGCAAGACATCCAGGCGCAGTATATTTATCTGGCTGCGGGTGTTCTCACAAAGCCACAAGTCCCAAAGATTCCTGGTCTCCTTTCCTACAAAGGGGAAATATTCCACACTTCTAGATGGAACTACGATGTCACTGGCGGATCACAAGAAGATCAAACACTCACCAATCTGCGAGATAAGAGAGTCGCAATAGTCGGTACGGCTGCAACAGCCATAGGAGCAATTCCCACGCTCGCCAAGTTCGCAAAGGAGCTGTACGTGGTGCAGCGGACGCCAGCCTACGTCAAGGGTCGGGGTCAACAAGACACGGTCCCCGAAACTTTCAAAGCTACTGTCGCGAGAAATAAAGGTTGGCAATTTGAGAGGCAGATCAACCTGAACCGGCACATGACCAACGCCCTCTTGCCAGGACAGCCCAATCTGGTGAACGACGGCTGGACCGATATGCCCGCTTACTCCGCGGTCATGGGATCACCCGCCCACGGCATCGCCAATTCTTCCCCGGAAGACCAGGACCGAAGGGCCACCTGGTTCCACGCCTTGGACCTGCCGCATATGGAAGGCGTGCGCGCTCGGGTCAGCAGCATTGTCAAATGTGAAGCTACTGCCGAGAAATTGAAGCCCTGGTACCCCTCTTGGTGCAAACGTCCCACATTCAGCGATGAATATTTACAAGCTTTCAACGAGCCGCACGTACATCTCCTCGACACCGACGGCAAGGGACCATCGAATGCCACAGAGAGAGGCATCGTCGTCGCCGGCGAGGAGTATCCTGTCGACGTTATCATCTTTAGCACAGGCTATTCCGTCACTGGTGGTCGTACGGGAGGTAGTCCAGCAGAACGAGTCGGTATCGAGGTTCTCGGACGTAACGGTGTCTCAATGGATGATAAATGGCGACGCAACGGCGCTGCTACGCTACACGGGTATCTCACGAGCGAGTTTCCCAACCTCTTTTTCTCTGGTACGTCCCAGGGTACCATCACGGGCAATAATGTGTTCATGTTGGGCCTCATTGCTCGGCATGTCACGTACATTATATCCGAGGCTGAAGCACGAGTGGGTGCTGGTCAAAGGGCTATTGTCGAGGTGACTCGAGAGGCAGAGGAACAGCACAGTCTAGAGGTTGCGAAGAGGGCCCCGTTCTTTTCGTCGCTTGCGGGATGTACCCCGGGATACTTCAATGGACACGGACAAGCGGCCTCAGACGACCCCAAAGAGAGGGCCAAGCAGGCACGGGGAGTCGTGTGGGCTGAAGGTACAGTATCCTTCTTGCAGTACATTGGTAGATGGAGGAACGAGGGCAAATTGGATGGAATCTCTGTTTCAGCGCGACCCAGAGTCGCGTCCAATAGCATTGAAAGATTGTCCAAGATTTAATGTAATATCTCAATTCATTCCCAGACCCCAGAAGGCTTCATGCTATTAAGAAGATTGATGTGCTTAGAAGTGAACTTTTGGAGAATCAAGGACAGAGAATTCTAATGCCGTATCGTGCGCTTGCATGATGGGGCAAGCATAGGGGTCTGATAAACGGTTCAATTGTGGCCCATGCAGGTCACTAGCATAAGTAGAACTTATCCTTCTAGCTGTAGGCTTGGCTTGGCTTGGCTGGAGGCTAGATGAAGTGCATGTCGCCTGAGTGGAAGAATTTAAGCATGGTACTAAGCGTAGTTTACCATCGTTCATTATCAATAATCTTCCAAAGCTTGTATTCGTCTGCATCACATCTTGTTTCATCATAGCCATAGTCTATACACGTTGGAGTTTGGATAGTAGATATCATTAGATGGTTTCATTTTTGAGTTGACGACTTCGAATACACCATGACTTCTTTCTCTTTCAATTTCAATATCACAGTACTCTTACTCCTTAGTAAAGCGCCTTGTCCACTCATGACTTGATAGACGCCGAGTCGTGCGGCCGGAGTGCTATGATGCAGTGATGTCCGGCAGCAGCAGACAAACGAAAGGGAGCCAGATCACATGTGCGGTCTACGAAATTGAGATGACGATGGATGCAAAAACTGGTCTTCGATGCTCATTTGATGTCAAAATCGCGGGACGTCACGGAAGGTATGCAAGATATCGGATGCCGAACTTCAAGCTCAAATCAATTCAGCTTTCCAAAAATTCCGGCTTGCATCTCGAGTTCTTCTATACTCTGTGGTATGACGTGATCGAATACCTAGGAAAGAGACTGGAAATGACGTTGGAACTCGTCACCTAAACTGAGTTGAAATCATGCCCCGGAACACTTCTGGACAAGCCCACTGATGGACTTGTAGGCGTTAGAGTAATCAAGCTGTTGTTGAGTTCAGACCTTGTCATCATCAGCACCCGGAGATGACGTCGAATTTTCCTCTTGATGACAAGAGACGGGCTTTTTCAGAAAAGCCGAAGGAGCCGGAAGAGCTTTTGGACAGTTGAGCCTCGGCCCGGGTGCAAAAGGGAGGTGGGGAAGTTTCCCGGGAGTCATCGCTCTGCCGAGTCCGAAGCCCGCAGTCTTCGTGTTCGCATGTCAAACTTGCTTTTCCAACATAAGGTAGTAAAACGGAGGCGACGGTAATTTGCAAACTTCATCGAGATCAAAAGCTTAAGACAGCGACGGAAATCAACGGACATAATCACTGTTGAGTTGAGAAAAGGGGGTAGGAAGTTCAAGTATAAGAATTTGACCCAGCCCCCTTTACCGACTTCAACTCTTGGCAATACAGATTCATCACATCTCTTCATACATCATTACATCTGAAAAACAAGTGACAGTACCCAAACATACCCATCATCGTCATCATCTATAAACCTGATTCCAATCAATCGTCATAAACAAGCATTTTAAATTCCCGAGACTCCCGTCAATCTGAACTCTATCCACATAGTCGGGACTTCCGCAAACTCAATCTCGAGAAACATTCAGCCATTTTATCCCACCAATCCTTGCCGCCCCTTCACGCAATGAAGACTTCCCACCTTCTCCTCTTCGCCACTCCAATTCTCGCCGGCGTAGCCCCAGCCACAACCGCCGAACAGTGCGGATCCCTCGGCGTGATGGCATACACTGCCGCATCCCTCGATACCTCCGTCGCCGGTGGCACTAGAGTTGATCCCGCACAGATCCGCACGTGCCAGGAGCACCCCTTAGGCCCGGCCTCTCGACCCGAACACGCCGTCGGACCCCGTCCTGCGTCCGCAGACAGCAAGCAAGGAGGAGTCAACTCCACCACCGTAAACCGCTGGGGTTGGGGCTGGGGCTGGCGGCACGGTGGCGCCGGTTGGGGCAACTGCTGGGACGTCGATCCGGGCGACTACGGCTGCTCGGGGGGCTACTGCTACAAAGCGTGCGACGGCGACGGGCGGTGGTGCTGGACTGCGCGGAATAGGGGTTACGGCGACTGGCAGACGTGCGATAGGGATTCCGATTGTGCGAATTTGGATAATGTTGGGTGCGGGAAGGGGTGTAAATCTTGTGGGTGCGGGTGTTAGTCGAAAGCCTCATCGCTTTCGCTTAGACATGACACTTTCGGAAAGTTTATTGTAATATGTGGTGCGTGTTTTATATTGGGACCCGGGAATACGACTGAGTTTTGGTGTTTGGGTTCTTGGACTTGTGTGTATTTAGTCTGGTTAGTTGAATCTCATTCAAGCGGAATTGATTATTGACCTTGGGGGTTTCCCTGCTTGTGATCGGTCTGGACTTGTGGTTGTGACCTCGCTTTTGCATGTGTGATCGTTACTCGGATGACTATCTCGTCCCAAGAGTTGATGTAATCATACCAGGCAGCGACACGTGCGTGACGTGGATTAGAAATCTGTCATCATCACAAACCAGGGAAAGAGTTCTCTTTTCAGATGCAGCTGAAGTCTTCAGCAGTCGCAGCTCGAATCACAAATGAATAAAAATCTAATCTTGATGGACCTCGAGTCCTCAACACGACGGAAAGTAGACAATATCTGACAAAGACTTGGGTATCACAACAAGGAAATCTAGAAACTTCTAAAGAAAAAGAAGATTTGACACATGCTGAACCTATGCCAGTAGCATGGTTTCTGCTTCACGCCAGATACCTTAGAAAGGACCAAGATTCAAATGACACCCGAGACTCTGAAGGCCAACAACCGAAGGATCTTGCGTCGTTATTCCAGTTTCTTGACAACTAGAATCGACTGTTGTATTATAGGCGTAATAAATCGGCCCTGGCTCAGTTCTCGTTGCCATGACATCATTGGACAGTGTCGAGATATGTGACAAACCCTCCGTCAATGACGGCACTTCGGATTTGACAGACGACTGTGTGAGCGACCGTGGGTTCTGAAATTCATGAATCCACTTCAGACATATGGCGATTTCCCGCTGGACGCTGTCGCAGGTCTGGTAGTGTCTCTGTGAGTCCAAGAACTTGCAGAATCTGGCGAATTTGTCAAGTTCGTCACGGTCTACGCGGTTGTCAGCTCTTTATTCGACTTGGCTTTACGGCAGCTCCGGCTTGGCAATGTGAAGGACACGTACAGGGTGAAGGCATTGCCTCTGGAGATATCGGTCCGAAAATGATTTTGTAGATCTCATGCCACTTGTCGGCTCCATTCTCCCCACGCGTATGTCCTTGACAAGAGCTCCACTGAGCGCTGTCCATGTTATCATCGACGATAGCAGATTGTCTTTGGCATTGAATTTCGGAATTATAGTGGTCATTGAGACTTTTCACCGATGACAATCGGACCTGACACCTACTGCATTTGTATCCAATTTCGCGATGGTTGCGACGAAGGTGTTCCCTATCATGACGTGTTAGCCGGCTCAATCTCGTTCCATCTGTATGTAGTGTCACACATGTCAGATAGGGGAGAAGGAAGCTTACTTGAGCCTGTGAAGATTTTTCCAACCGGCACCTGCACATGACTTCCACTTCCCTTCACAGTACTTTTCCGGGTTGAACTTGAAATAATGGCATGCAAAAGCGCCCTGTCCGTCTTGACTAGTCGTCGGTGACTCTGAGACTAAGTCGAAAGAACTTGCCGCCCCACGTGTGGGTACGACACTCTTTCCTGACAACTTCTGCAACTTGCGCCGTTTGCCTTCGGGCTTCTCGATTCTGGTGCTACAGCGCCGCTTCCCATTCTGAGCGGTGTCAGGAACAGTAAGACTCGGACGAGATGTCGGTGGGTCTCCTAAAGAGAACAAGAATGCGTCCATGTTTGGAGATCCGAGTTGGCCCATGTCAGGTGAGATGGTGAAATTCATGTCTCCATATACTAGGTTCGACTGATTCATCGCGTTGTCGTGAGGTCCAAGAGGTACAGGTGGCTCCGTAAATGAAGTAGTCATGGCGAAGCTAGTCATCTGGTCATACTCCGAATTGTAGGAGCCAGTGGACGAGTAGGAAGAGTTAAACTGAGGTGCAAGCGTCGCGCATGGCTGACTGCGTTGTGTTGGATCTGGTACTTCAACCACGTTGACAGAGATAGACCGAGCTTCATTATGCGCGGCTCCTATCAATTGCTTATGTCTGCATGTCCAATTTGACATCTCCTTTCGAGGAGCTGGCTCTGTGTAGCCTGGGTCGCCCACGCACTTTTCGTACATCTTCTCGAGGCTGGAGACAACACCAGCGCACGATATTCGCTTGGAACTGTCAACTTCCAGCATTTTGTCTTGAACCAAATCAAGCAAGTCGTGAATGAAGGAACTCGCTTTCGGGGCTCGACGAAGTCGACTGATCCACTGTTCAAGTCTGCATTAGCACCCATGCGTAACACAAATACAACCCTATCGCATTACTCACGTGAGAGACAGCGGCCTTGAGTTTGACTCTAGTTCCCTTTTCTTGGTCTCTGGAAACCTCAAAAAAGGAGTTGTCGAAACGTTTGCCGGCCTTCGTCTGGCGACTGGCGCTGAACTTCTTCACCCCCTTGAGGCCCAGAGTCATCCACGTAGCAGCTACGCTCATGACGCAGCCAAGAGACCAGATATCTGCCTTTTGACCATTAAACTTGCCAACATCATGCTCTGGAGCACGATACGTCGGTGAAAAGCCTGCAGGTTTGTCTCCCTGTAAGGGATCTGTCCCACGGTCGATACGGGATAAGCCAAAGTCAGCCAGCTTCCACTGCCCGTTTTCGACGAGGACGTTTTCGGGTTTGATGTCGCCGTGGTAGCTCCCACCAAGTCCCTCAGCCTTGTCGTGGTCTCTCTTGCTGGAGCGCTTTTTCAGTCGGCAGTAGTGGATCGCCTTTAAGGCTTCGGCAACACCAAGCATCTGCTTCGCGGTCAAGGTCGAAGGCTTCACCGCGCTGGCCGAGTTACAAGACAAAGAGGATGGCGGTTCGGTGAAGAGGTCATGAAGATCGTGTTCGGCCCAGGGAGTCACCAAGTAATAGGCACCCCCACACTTGAAGGTGGCAAGTAGCTCAATAACATGGGGTTGATCCGGGCCGCCAAAGGTCTTGAGAGCTTCCACCTCGCGAGCGTAGTCCTCTGGTCTCGCGTTCAGAAGCTGCTTGACTGCGACTGTGGAGACGGGAAAGTCGTGATGCCCGTCATGAAGGTGGGCCTGGTATATGCGGGAGTTGTTGCTGCAACCATTGCGAGGCCCTTGGATTCCGTGAGGAGAGTCTGGCATGACGAATGGCAGGATCGTATCCCCTGGGAATACGCGGGGCTCGCCGTCAAGATCAGCTCGCGCAAACACAGGCGCCAGAAGCTTCCACTGCGTCTCCTCGAAGAGGATCGACTCGTAGTGACTGAGTCCCATCAGGGATAGATCAAAGCTGGACCGGGTAGCCATGGATCGTACCAAGGTGCTCGTCTTTTCTCCCGATGTAGGAGCCAATGCCAACGGGAGCTGCGCGTCACCGAGACGATTCTCTCGGAAGGCTATGATGGCATCGACTCGGTCGATCAAGGCTAGGATGGCAAAGGTCTTGTGGTACGTCTTCTCCTTGAAGATTGTGGAGGCATAGAGCCGACGCATGAAGTCGGCCCCAGGGTAGGAAGCGCGGAGAGCCCCTAGCATCGACTCCTCGGAAAAGATCCGGTTGATGTCAGGCTCGGGAAGGAACTCCTTGGAGGAGTCGCCATTGAGACTGAAGGAGCGACACAGGGCTCCTTCCAATGCCTGTTTCAGTGGCTTAGTAATCTCCCTTGTGTCAGGCTGGGGAAGAACTGATGGGAGCATAAAGGTTTCATTTTCGGGAGTAGTCTCGATCATGCTCAGGGTACTGTAGAATACGGGTTGTTGATTTTTGCTGTTTGAGAATTCGAAGGGATCAAGGCTGGGCGAGATGAGGTGGAGGGGGAATCTCGCAAAGGGGGAGCAGCAGCACTTTAAATGGAAATAGAATGGCACATTGCACGAGAAGCAGGGCGATCGAGGGTGACACTAGCAACACAAATGCAAGATTCGGTCAAGCATCTCGCATCAAGTTTGTTGCGTATCTGCGCATCTGCGGAGGATTGGACGCGTGAAATTTCATCTTGGGCTCTCAAGATTGGTCAGGTAGAAGCAGGGCAACCAGGCGTCGAGCACCAACAAGCACAGCCTCAGTGCCTCGACGTAACGGTAGTCATGTCTCAGTCGGTAAGTGGTCGCGGCCAATGGCGTCACAAAACATCAGTGGTTGCGATTAATGAATAAAGGGAGGGTGGTTCGCATGAGCCGTAGGAAGGTGAACGTGAACATGAGGAATGTTGGATGAGTGAGAGTGAGAGGTGGTAAGTGAGATGGCGAGCGAAATTGAAGACGGTGAGCTGTTGGCAAAGTCCGAAGTTTAAGCTTATTTGGGGATTCAATTGGATGAGGCAAAGCTGTCAGGTTGGTTAGTCATCTCCAACCCACCCCACCATCCCCTCCTCAGGTTACCTTTACAGTAAGGTAATAATTACCTACCCACACTACCTACCTTCTCACACTGACTCTTCAACCCAAGCTCACTGCTCAAGACAGGCTTTAGATGAGTGTGAGGTGACTTTCTCGCCTGCCATCTCATGTTTTCGCAACTCAATTGAGCATCACAGATACTCAATTCCATTGTGACAATCGAACATTCAAAAAAGACACCATATTCAGTCCGATGATAGCGTGAGATCGAGAAAGTTACCTTAGATCCTTAGATAAGCCAACCAGACGGTGAGAGCGCCAAGACTTGCCAAGGAAAAAATCACCTTCTGGGCGCCTATCACCTCGCACCACGCGACCCTCTCGCCCGCTGTTGCTGCTTTTTCGCTCATTGATGTACCTAATCTGTGACCAGTTCTTGCCCACCTCAGTCTTGCCAGTGTCTGTACGAAGTACGGAGTACCTTACTTCCTGCCGTGGTGGTTTTCACCCCGCTCCTGCCTCGAGGCCCAGTCTCTGCTCTGCCTCTCTGCTCACCTTTTCCCTTTTCTCGGCGCTCTGCCCAGGAAAATCCTCAACTCCTCCAAAGTCAGTGCAAAAATCATCAACAACCACTCAAGGTCGAACGATGAAGCGAGCGACAAAGGTGTTGGTGATACCCTCTACCACCCACCAGCCCTAGCACACTCACCTGCTTCTCCAGAACTCCATCAGCTCTTTCTGCCCATCCACTGTCTGTCCAGCAGTCCGGTCCGCATAGGTCGGCAAAGCCAGCACAGCACACCACGCACAAACGTACCGCAAAGCAACTCGCACCCCACACCCCGCCCGCGAACAACCACGGCGCCGAGACCAAAAACCTCACCCGTCGTTGCCGTACTTCCGTGCCCGACGAACCACCTCCCATCGTCTTGCGGAACCTGCGCAGCATCCCACCAGGCAGCGCACGCCGCAGCAGAGCAGAGCAGAGCAGAACCCGGCGCCCGCCCGCGCTGCTCTTCTCTTCGCGTCCCGGGCCCCAGGTCTTTATACCTATTCGGCCCAGGCCCCAATTCTTCATCGCTGTCTTGGCCCTGCGTGGCCTCTTGCCGGTTTCCCGTCTCCGGGTCCCCCTCAACACGCTTTCCCCTGAACACTTGACGTAAACCAACTCAACCGAGACGAAAGAAACCCAATCCATCCCGCCGGCCGGTGTCCCCTACGGATACACCCCCCCTCTAGAATGAGGCTCTGGTCCTCGAGCCTCATGGGGACCTCCCTCCTCACGGTTCTCGCGGGGTCCGGGCCCGCCCTCGCAACGGTCCCCATCCTAACAGAAGTTTCTCTGAAAGGCTGCGCCGATGTGGACTGCCCGCCCGGCGCCGTCGACGACCTCGTCGGCGAGTCAAACTGCACCCTCGCCGGCTCCGTCCTCCGTCGCGTCGGCATCGCCCCAGAGGTCCTCGACATACCCATAGACGACAACAACACCACCGACATCCGCAAACTCTCCCTCACCGTCGCCACCCTCGCAAACTCTCCCGCCCCAGCAAACTCCCCCAGCTGGATAAAGAAGCAGCTCTACACCCAATCCTACTACCTCGGCGCCCCCGCGGGACTGAACCTCTCGTCGGAGAGCTACCCCAAGGGATGCGCCCTCATCTTCCAGCACATGTTCCAGACCTTACCCACACCGCACGAGGTGCCCGACCTCGACACTACAGACTGCAGCTCCTGGCTCCAGCAGTCCTGCATGGACGAGATCACGGGCTACGTAGACGACTTCCGCACCGCCCACTCCAAAGACGAGACGCTACCCCGGTGCCAGGAGATCGCAATGTACCTCGAGGAGCGGACGCGCACAGACAAAGACTTCCACTGCAACCTCGTCGCCGGCGCCGTCAACATCACCGGCGTCGACATCATCGGCCCGGACGCCCCCACCGTGCTGGCGCAGGACGCGGGTGACGCGGATGACAACAATGACTGCCACCCGACGCTGCCGCAGTCGTACGACATGTTCAAGCTGACCGACGTGGAGCTGATTCTTGACGGGGACGGAAGTACCACGAAGCCGACAGGCGGGCTGAACGGGTACACGCCCGTCATGAGCGTCTTGTTTGACAAGCTCTTGTATTCGCAGTGGATTTGCATGAAGACGATGAGTGAGTACGACCAGGAGAACGCGAGCGCGAGGACGAGTACTCCTGTGGTGGCGGGCCTGATTATGGGGCTTGCGACCTTGGTAGCAATTATGATGCTATGATCGAACAACACAAAAACACGGCGAGAGAACGAGAAAGAAAGAAAGGAATTATGTGTGTGTGTGTGTGTGTGTGTGTGTGTGTGTGTGTGTGTGTGTGTGTGTGTGCGATGCGAGAGCGACTTTTGGATCACGAGAGGGAAAACAGGACTGGCCCGGATATTTTATGACTTTACGCGATTATATACCCCAATGAAACCACGGCGGAATAGATTTGACACGCCTTATTCAACCCAATGCTCTTGCCCAAACGCCGATACACATGCCTGACAATAAAACGGGAAAATGTGTTATGTGATAGACTGATGTAGTCACAGATGCAACGATGTAGTAAGTGTTGTTAACGAGCTAAATGATGATGCCGCGTTGCGCCCATCCACCCTTGCCCTTCCAGGCAAAGAGGATCATGCCACACGCCACCCAAACAGTGACGGCCATGGCCCAGAATGTCGGCGCGTAACACTGCGCGCCATAGCAAAAGACGTCTCCTCCTCCGCCGCTGCCGCCGCCGCGTTGGGGAGAGTTCTCGGCGCCAGATTGGTACACGGCCGAGTACACCAGTCCCCAGAACGTCGAGCCGAGGGCGGGGAACATGGCGACGATGCCCCAATTTGTCGCAAAGTTCTCGACGCCCCAGATGACGGTGATGATGATGGGCGTCAGACTGAAGACGGCGCCGTACCCGGAGCCAATCAGACCAGAGACGATCCAGAACCGCTCGCCGTGTTCTTGGATGAGGCCGGAGGCCAGGGCGACCAGGCCCAGGGACAGGACGATGGCGAAGAAGAGCAAGAAGGCGACGCGGGAGATTGTGGGTCTGCCGCGGAGGAAAGGCGGCGTGGAGGAGACCTGCAGGTGCTGCGTCTGCGGCGACGGCGCGAGGAGGTCGGTCAAGGTGCCGGTTGCGAGACGGGCAATGGTGCTGGTGATGCCGACGATGGAGACGTGCGTCGCGGCCGAGGTCGGAGGTCCGACGTAGTGCATAGTGGGAGGGTACAGAGTGCCGATCACGGTGCCGAGGTTGTTGATGAAGGCTTCGCCGGGTCCAATCATCAGCAGGAAACCCAGGGCGAAGCACCACATGGTCTTGTCGGTGAGGAAGCTCCTGGTCTCGGCGTTGAGGACGAGCTTCTTCCTGAGCTTGGCATCGTCTTCCGCCGGTCCCAGAACACCGCCGTCTTCCTCGTCGTCGATTTGTCCGATTGCGCCGTAATTTCTGCTGCGCTCGAGACTGCGGGCGCTAAGGAACGAGGTGCTGCGCTCCAAGAGGCCACTTCGCTCGAGCTCCTCGACGGCTTCCTCAAAGATTTCTTCCTCGTCGACAACCTTGAGCGTGAAAGAGCCGGTCACTCCCACCACCAAGAGCAGGATAGCGAGGAAAACGAAGAAGTGGAACACATCCAAGTCTCCAGCCGAGCCGTCCGGAAGGCGCTCGTAAAAGACGTGACTGCCCAACTGACTGAGCCACATGCCGCTCAACCCAAAGGCGGCAATCGGCACGGCAAGGGCCAGTCCGCGATGCTTCCCCTTGCCAAAGTTCTTGGCGCACGTCGCGACGGCGGCAAGGTACATGGAGCAAGTACCAACGCCCACGCAGACGAAGGCAAAGATCATGAGCGGGTACGTCCAGTCGGCACCGCCGCCGATACGCCTTCCAGCGTAATCGCGCAGGCCGCCGAGGTTCTCCGTCTCGAGCTTTCGGTATGTGCCCGCGGCGATGGCATAGCCGCCGCTGAAGAGTATAGCCGCCAGGAGCGAGAGGGGCGGGGTGCCAACGCGGTCGCAGATGTAGCCGAGGAACGAAACGGGGAGATAGAGGGCGATGGAGCTGCTGATGGCGAGGCCGTTGACCTGGAACTGGGTATAGTGCAGGCGTTCCTGGAAGATGTGTCCGTACATGGAAAAGACGGTGATGGAGCCTGCGCAGAGGGCCGAGACCAATGCTGCGACGAAGGAGATGGCTCGGAGAGTGGTGGCCGCACGGCGGCTTGGACGTTTTCGCCTCGGTGGCGTTTGGGAGTCGAAGGAGGACCTCGAGCTGAAGCGGCTGATTGTGGAGGAAGCATCGTCGTCATCGTGAGCTCCCGCAACGAGGGTCCGGTCATCGGACGGGGTTGGGGTGTTTGCGGCTCGCGCCATGGTGACTGGCTGGTTGTGTGAGAGGTTCAGGTGTGTTCGGATATGCGTGGAAGAGAGTACGGATTGGCAATTTGGAGATATGCGCCGCGGTCGGCTATGGGTAGCTAAGGGAAGAACCGACAATTAGATCGAAAAAGAAAGGCAGACGCTGTTCATTATTGCGCAGATGAAGAAGTAAGGTGGCCGGATTCGCGAGACTCGAGTCACAAACGACCAAGATCAAACATGACGTGCTCAAGAGGGAAGGCGAGGAGAGGAGAGGAGAAGTCTCGGGTTTGCGGATGGCGGATGGATAGTAGCGGACGGGATGGAACTGACTGGGGGGAGGGAGTAAGTAGAAGAAGATGGTGGGAGGAGACGGACGGCCCGCGTCGGAGTCAGGAGTTGGAGTCACGATTTCGCACGTCAGCAGGTCGCCTCCATCACCTAGAATGATGTCGTGCTCGGCGGCCCGGTGGAGTGTGGAGCGCCGCTTAGGCTGTTTGAACGCTGCTGGACTGTTGTCCGGCGGGCCCGTTTGTCACTGACATAGCGCTGAGGCACAGAGCTTAGGCTGCCCGCACAATGTCACTGGTCGGGTGGCTGGTGGACCGTGGAAGACGGAGAGCAAGCTAAAAGCTGGGGTGAGCCCCTTTCGCTTACCTAAAGTTTCCTTAGCGAGATCGGAGTCCGGCAGACTCACCACCGTCTCCCGAGGTCAGGTAGGCACTTGACGTGGAGCTTCAACTACCTTAGGTAAGCTAAGGTACCTACCGACCGAGTAGATCCACTGATTAGATAAGAAACATGCTCACCCCTAAGGTATCGATAATACCCCCGATGCCCAAGATCCATGGAATAATGTCTTACATCTACTAACCTCCACTCCTAGTCGTCCCGTTCAGCCCACGGCTTCGGGATCTCTTCCAAGATTCAAGCGACGCACACGTCAAGATGGACGCCGTGCGCGGAGACCAGCATAAAGTACTCGCTGAGCAGTTCACCAAGCTCACCCACGACGATGGATCTCCCGATATAGCACTCCGGCACGCCAACCTGGACAATCTCGTCTCGTGCCTGACGCCATGGGAACTCCTGTACCTCACGCAACTAACACGGAAAAGCCCAGCCAAACTTGCAGAAATGCAGAATCTTCCAGAAGAAGTAGTCGCCATGATATCCCGGCATCTGCGCCTTGGAGACGCAATAAAGTGCACCCAAGTTTCCAAACCGTGGCGGCAAAAATGGACTTGTCACACGGTCGTCAATGATATTGCCCACGTCTGCTTCCCGGGATTGACGGCGGCGTTCCCAGATACGCCGGCTTGGGATCTTTTGCGCCCTATTGCCCAAAAAGCCACAGCCCGTAACCAAGGCAAAATCACTTCCTGGCTCTCTATCAGGACTGCCGACGTGCCTCTGCTGGAATGCACCGCCCTGAAGTACGATGATCTCAGCCTTGAATTTGCAAAGTCTAATCCCACAGCCACGCCTTCGAGATTCTTCAGGAAGGATAACTGGGACTCGAGGTCCTGGCGCGGTTTCGCTTACTCTCATGGAAAAGTCGCCTGGCAGTGGGATTCCTACCGTTTCTTCGTTGACGACATTCGAGCCATGACCAGGAAGCTCGTTTCACCGCCCGATCTCGTGGTAAGGGGAGATAAGGACTTCATCGTGTATGCCATGACGGAGAATCTCTTGATTCTAGCAAATCAAATCACCATGAGGGCTCTGTAAGTTGTCCCGCGACTATTCGCCACTACCTCAGAGAGATGTCTCGAGCTCTTGAGAGCTCAGCTAATTAAATTAGTATTGTATATGATCTTAATAAGGGTGAGCACCGTCGTGTTACCCTCCCTAACCGCATGTTGGACCTGCAAGCCCACAAAGACACATTCGCCATCAATTTCTCCATCGACTACTGTACCTATCGCCAAGATGACTCCGCAACCCCGCCTCATGTCTGGAACTGGTCTACTGGTCTTGTTAAGCTTGACGTCCCTGGCTCTCCAGCGACCGAGGAACCACGCCGCTACAGCTATGCATGGGACGAGCACAATGACGAAGGCGCGGATTGTAACAACGGGGTCATCTTTCACCCAACGAAACCTCACATTCTCTACTTCGTCAGTGTCTTGTTTGAGAGACCCAGTCCGAGTGATGAAGGGAGTGAGTCTGACACTCAGGATGAGCATATATCTAACGAAAGCTCGCGTCGTCACCTCCTTCTTGTCGAGGCTCACAAATTTGACAATACAACGTTTGTCGAAACGTTCACGCATAAATCTATCAGAAGGTGGAAAGATATCCCACGCTTTGCAATGCACTGCCAACCAATGAACTCCTATGGACTTTCCAATATTGGCAAAATGTACATGACGTTTTCAAAGAATACTGCCATCTTCAAGAGCGGACTGCCCGGTGGAAAGACTAAGATCGTCAAGGCGCCCAGTCTTCCCCTGATAACGATCAATTTCAATACGACGACGGAGTCATTTGTGGTCGAAAAAAGGGTCCTCAGCGGCATGCGGAGGCCGATATGGGAGCATGCTGCTGGCGAACCAGCACAAGCCGGCGGTATCTCGTGGAACGACTCAGTGTATTACATTCAAAATAAAGATTGCCGTCTCCGCGCGGAATTCGAACCTCGATGGAGGCACCGTTTCGAAGGCAAGGGCCAAAGATCAATTTGCATTGCCAACAAAACATCAACGTTTGTTTTGGAGACCAAGAACCTCTGGTTTAAAGAGCCCGGCCGCGGTGCTCGCCGCGAGAGATTTCGAAGCATCGCGGTGGACGACGACTTCGTGGTCGGCCTTTCAAGACGGAGCTACGTCGTGTATAACTTTGGCGACCCGAGTTTGAAAGGAGGGCCCTGGTCCGAGCCCCATAAAGTGCAGCGTTACACGATGAAGGACTTGGATTGTCCGAAGCGGGGGTGCCCGGGGCCGGATGAGTCGCGGCTGTGCCCGGTTTGCAGCGATATCACTCTCAGCAGCCTTTGGGGCCATCATGCTGATAACGAAAGTCCTGATGTCTCTTCGGACGAAGACGAGGAGAGCTCGGAAGGCGTGCTTTCCGAACCAGAGCATTGGGCTGGAGACTCCAACGAGGCGGACGAGGGCTGGGAAACCTCGGAGTACGGCGACGGCTATGGCTACAGTTACTAGTCACAGTGTGTACCCTTGGGGTGTACACTGGGGCTGATCTTGGTTATTCGCCTTTTTTCATAAATCGATGTCATTCTTGAATCGAGGAAAGAAAGGCTACCAGGAAATACTACCTGACAGAGAAATTGATCTCCTAAGAGACCGGCCACAGTATCGACGGAACTGCCGAACTGGGAACACAGCCAATGTCTACATGTTGCAGGGCATGGTTAAGCATTTCAGAGCAACTTGAATTTTCCCCAGAGCTATTCTCATTTCATAACAACGTTAATATCTTTGTCATCACCCCTATACAGGAGGCATTGTGATGTTGGTGTATTTCGAATCACCATGGCCAGTTGGAGCCACCTGGCAAGACCAGCACAATGATTGCTGCTACATACGATCCAACGAACACTGCATGGATAATTACTACGTTGACTGTCTTCCAGCATTCTCACAACGGTCAGCAAATGTCCCCGCTTCTCAGCTTCGGAATCGCGCACGCATCGAATCTCGAGCAACACGACATGACGTGCCGAAACCAGCTACTGCTCAACCAGGTGCAAGGTCTATGTCTCCCCTGCGGCTCTGTCGCGCTAGCTACATGTGATGCGCCTTATCAATACGCGCACCTTGGCCCTGGCCGAGTTCTTTGGCGACGAGATCCCGCGGTACGCCATCGTCTCCCACACATGGGGCCACGATGAAGTGACGTTCCAAGATTGGAAGGAGGACCTGTGCGTGGCGAGGGAGAGGCAGGGATTTCGCAAGATTGACCTGGCCAGGACACAGGCGATTGACGATGGGCTCGACTACCTCTGGATCGACACCTGCTGCATCAACAAGGAGAGTTCCGCCGAGCTGTCCGAGGCCATCAACTCCATGTTTGCGTGGTACGAGTGCGCCGTGCGGTGCTACGCCTATCTGTCGGATGTAGACCACGCGAAACGGCTTGACGGGCCCGCCGGCGACGCAGAGCACAGCTTCGACATCCTTTCGCAGAGTCTCTGGTTCACCCGCGGCTGGACGCTTCAAGAGCTCCTAGCCCCGCGGGAGGTCCTGTTCTTCGCCCATGGCTGGAGCCTCCTGGGCACCCGCAAGCTCCTCGCGGGCGTCATTCAGAGAATCACAAACATTGACTGGAAATACCTTCAGCCGCGAAGCAGGAAACGCCTGTCCGACGCCAGCGTCGCCGAGCGCATGTCGTGGCTGTCGTGTCGCAAGACGACCCGCAAGGAGGACATGGCGTATTGCATGCTCGGTATCTTTGACATCAACATGCCCCTCCTTTACGGCGAGGGTGCGAAGGCTTTTGCGCGGCTGCAGGAGGAGATTCTAAAGACGTCGACGGACCAGTCGCTCTTTTGCTGGTCCTGGACCGAGAGCGACCCGGGTTCGTGGGTCAGCATGCTGGCGCCGTCGCCGCGGAACTTTAGAAACGGGCAGAATTATCATCCGGCACACGACGCCTCGAGCAGGCCGGTGCCGTACTCCATGACTAACTTTGGCTTGTCGATACAGTTGACGCTGATACGCCCCGCCAACATCCGTATTTCCAACTTTGGCTTCCGGCCACCAGAGTGTATCGGCATCCTGTCCGCCAGCACAAAGGGCGGCCACCTCATCGGCGTTCCCCTGGAGAGTACCGGCCTGGTTGACACGTACAGAGTCGTCCGAGATTTTCCCCGGCCCATCTCGCTGCGATGGAACACGCGCGACCTTGGGTTCCTAAAGTCCGGCAGCCTCAAGATCGAGGTCCACGACATATTCGTCCCTTCAAAGGCGCCGGGGAGCGATCTCGGCATCGTCCAGCTCAAGCCCCACGACTCGAGCTTTTACCTAGGCGAGTACGCCATCATGCTCCTCGTCATGCACAGCCGGGACTCCGGCGTCGAGATCTTTACGCGCATCGAGGCTATACCGCGGTACACGGACTCCATGGCGGGATTCATCACCATGAAGAAGTTCAAGTTCCCCCCATCACCAGCGACGGTGACAACAGCAACGACTGGACCAAACTCGGCGCCAAACTCGGCGCCAAACTCGGCCATCTTCAACGCAGTAGAAGCCCACGGCGCGCTCGTCCGACTCCACGCAAACTCCCTCAGCCAAAAGGACGGCGCCCTCTGGATGCTCTTCGGTGTGCTCGTCAACAAGGCAGGGCAGTCGTGGTGGATATTCCGGTACCTGGACGGGCTCACCTCCACCTCGGGCTCTTCTGCCTCCTCCTCCTCCTCCTCCTCCTCGATGACCGAGGCGAACCTGGAGAGGCTGCTGCGGGACGCGGCGACAAATTGGCAGCCTTCGTATAGGGCCAAGGCGTACGTCTCCCCACAGGCGGTGGAGAGTAGGCGGGTGACGAAGAGGGATGCGATTACGATTACGTTTGGGCCCGAGTTTCGCGCCGAGGTGAATGATCGCAAGACGATTGCCAAGGCTGCGCATCTTATTGTTTCCGGGTTTACTGCTGGGTTGAAGACGGCGGAGACGATTTAAGATGTTTGGCGATCAAGGACGAAATGATGAGAATAAAAGTATTGGGCTTGGTTATTTGGATTTTTGGCTTCCCGAAGGCGACTTATACCCTCAGCGCGGAGCACTTGGCTGTCTAGTCATGGTACGTAAGTAGTCACGATAATCAGAGATCAGAAATCATCGATTATAGACGCTCAATTGAGTGCAAAGTAGGTGCAAAATATGTACAATTGAAGAGAAAAAGTATGTACCAGTGGCGGGTCAGAGATCCTGCGAGCGAACTCATGCGCCAAACACCTGATGAGCCCAGATATACCTGGGTTAACAACACAATCCTCACGCCCCTCTGGGTGCTGCTTTTGTACGTCCTAAACAACCCTCGATTTCAGGCAGTGGTGATGTTGTAGCCAATGCCCAGTCCGACGGGGCAATTCGGCACATTCGCCTGCCACGCCTCGTTGCTCTTTGCGAACGCGGGCAGATATGAGTTGGTTGTGAACGTCTAGAAGACACGTCAGTTTATCATATCTAGGTAATTGACAGTCACTAATCCTATTCAGATTTTGACTTACGCTAGGTAGGTAGTAAGAAACATCAGCAGACGTGTAGTTGCCCCCCAACGAACGCAGAACCGAGACGACGGAACCCGCAACGTAGTCCAAAAAGATGAGATCAATCTTGTCGTCGTCGGCAAGCTCGCCGCTGGTGGGGAAGCTGCCGTTGGCCTGGAAGAAGTTGGGGTAGCTGTACGTCGGGATCTCGCTGTGCACGGTATCGTCTCCGTCGGTGCCAAAGTCGTCGGTGGTCGTGTACCCCGGCGTGACGGCCTGGCGTCTGACGATGCGTCCGCCAGCATAGGACCGCTTGGAGAAGTGATCGTTTGTCACGTGCGGGTCGATGCAGCTGTCCACGGCCGAGAGGGCCGGGTTGACCTGGCCGAAGCCGAACGAGTCTGACGAGAGAGAACGTCTGCGCTTGGAGGGGAACCCGCCGGATTCGAGACCGGCGAGGACCTGGCGCGCGAGAGACCAGTCGACGTCGGGGATGTACTGAAACCCGTCGGTGAAGGGGGAGACGATGAAGGAGGAGTCGTAGTCGAAGGGGCCCTCGGCGAGGTCGAAGCGGATGTGGCCCGTGTTGGCGAGGATGATGCGCGGGGTGGCCTTGCGGGCTTCGGTGACGATTGTGGCGGAGAGGGCAGTCGTCAGCAGGGAGAAGATGGAGCCGGAGGACATGTAGGGCGCGCAGGCGATGCACCACGTCTGGGGAGCGCAGCCGTAGAGGGAGGTAAGGTTGAGCTTCTTGCGGGTCGCTGTGATGTTTGCGGAGACGGCGAGGCCCTTTGTCGTGTTGAAGGCTTTGTGCTGGCTGCCGACTGCATGGTACTCGAATGTGAGGGTGTTCCTGAAGAATATGGTGAGCTGAATGAGTGCTTTGATGGTCAATTTTATGGTTGTTCTTACCAGTCCAGGTAGCGGCGAGAGTACGTGATGCTAGAGTTCCCAGTAGCAGCCGTCTGTCCAGCAGTCACGTTGACAGCCTTTTGAGACGGATGAGGCACGCCCTTGGGATACACAGCGCCCTTGTAGCTGTCCGACTTGACGCCGCTCAGCGACAGCCAGCCGACGGTCTCGCAGTACCGGCCGGACTCGAGGGCGGTGGACTTGTCGTCGTAGACAGCAAAGTCGCGGATGTGGGTGTGACCGCCAAAAAACTGGACGGGGGTGTCGGCCTTGACAGCGCGGATGGCGTTAAAGACGGTCTTAAGGGTGCTGCTGCTCTGCGTCGGGCGGACGGGGTTGTGGCCGATGACGAGGAAGAGGTCGATGGGTTCCGTGTAGTCGACGGCATCGAGGAACCATTGCTGCTTCACCATCGTGGCGGCCTTTGTGACGACGGAGGCGTTGGAGTTGCCGGTGAAGTCGAAGAGGACGCCAAAGGCCATGATTCTGAGGCCTGTGTAGGATTTGTGTTAGATATCAACGAGACTAGGGCAGAGAGGCTACATACCCTTGGGGGTGGTGAAGTATCTGTACTGCTTGCCAATGGTCTCGAGCGCTCCAGTGCTGGGGTTGCGGATCTGGACGTTGCTCGTCAAGTACCTATCACCGTAGACCTTGGCAAACTGGCTGAAAGTCTCGTAAGCAATGGCGGAAACGTAAAGCTCGTGGTTGCCGATAGCCAAGACATCGTAGTCAATGTTCTCAAAGATTGGGTTCGACAATTGGCCATTGACGCCGGTGCCGTTGGCGTAAGTTGAGACACCGGTGGCATCACTGATTCCTGCGCCGTCGTGCAAGTCCTAGACGTACGTTAATTGAACTGGTGGTGTTGAGGACGGCTCATGGGCGGAAACATACTCCCGTGTCGACCACCAGCAAGTCTACATCCAGGTCCTTGGCCTTCTTGCGCATGTGCTTGACGAAGCTCACAAAGTCACCCCAGTCAGCGCCGTAGTTTTGCTCGCGGATGTGTCCTTCGAGCCTATCATTTTTGTCAGCATCCGAGTCGTGTCGCTAAGTGCCCAGGTAGAAACCCCATCCATACCATCCGTGAGTATCTGTGTCAAAGCTGTTAGCATACACAAAGTTGCATATTCTTGTTTGCAGATCGAATCAAGCTTACCAGTAGTGTGAAGAAAGTTCAATTGACCCCACGACAGCGGACCACGAGGCGCAACGGCGGCCGCCTGCGCATCGGGCTGCGCGCGACGAACATTTCTGGTCAAGACGACGTCTCTCTCGGGATGCTCGCAGCTCTCGCAGGCGAGGGCCGGGACGGCGCCGAACGCGAGGGCGAGAGAGGCCCAGACGCTGTTTCCGAGACGCATTGTGACGTGAATAGGCTCCCGACTGAACAAAAGAACAAACGGTCCAACGTCTGGCAAACCTTGTTCGCAAATTATCTGGCGAGCAAGCAACGATTGACAAGATCCTCTGAGCAGGTCAGCAAGAGCTAGGCCCAGGATACAAGGCGTGGGAAAGGCATGCAGCCAAGCTTTTAAGAGATGCGCTTCCCGCTCAAACAAGCTTTTTCTCTACATGAGCCAAGAGCAGCACCTGGAGACGGCGTGGTATTCCGGGCAGCTGCAGCTCTGCCGCGCTGACGCGGCAAATGATAACCCATCGTTCTCCCCCCCTCATTCAATATCTCCATCGGGGGCGACCGAAATCGCAATTCGCAAAGCTGCTATCTCGCTATCATCCAAAGCAACAAGACATCCTGGGCACGTGGGATAAAGCAGCTGCCAGGGATCGCTGGGGACCGAGCTTCCTCTTGTTATCTAGCGTGGCCGATGTCCGCGCCCCAATTGACATGGCCGGGCCCGCATGGGATCTCGTTTAACGTGCCGTCATTGCCGGGTTTCCCAAATGGCGATCGCTGGTGATCCACGGGGTGCTTTGATTGGTTTATGTATTTGTTGAGTATTTACTAGTCATGTCGGTGGAGGACCTGGAGATTATTCGCAGTAAACGTCGCCCAAGAGTTGATGGTTGACTAATCCTTGGTTGCTCGAGTTAGCAAGAGCGTTGTTCGTCTACTGCGTATGCTGTGTGGCAAATCCCATCACTACTTCATAATCGCAATTGGTCAGATAACTCAACTCTGAATGGCCAATCTCTTATATCTAGACTCGGCTGCCATCGACTTGAAGAAACATCCGTACCTTCCCTACGCTTTCAAAGGCTCTTAACATATTGATCTGCGAACCCGCTGACCATATGCACGATGAGCCGATAAAAAGCTAGAACCACAATCAGGTATTGACTCAGGCTCAAAAACATTCTGATTGTCAATGTCAGTCACCGGCCAAGCTTGAAATCGAGAGGTTATCAGTTCTAGCTCTCACCAACATAGTGCTGGCCACACCACGGCAGACTGGCATGAAGAGCGATACATCATGAATGAGAGACCAAAAAAAAATGCTGTTCGGTCGACGAATGAGATTTCAGAATTCTTGAGTCCTAATAATTTTCAATAGTTTTCCAATCATAGTCGCTCACGTGCTTAGGAATGGGTGATGCAGTTCCACTCTGGGTCCCAGAGTCTCAACGAGGGCTCACTTGCTCCCATCCCACCAGTGCTCTGTTTCATCATGGAACTCTGGTATCCCAACAAGGGGTAAGGTTATCCGCAATAAGCTATAGTATACAGCGTTGCGCGTCTTACTTCTCCAACCCGTCTGATCTCAAGCTCCTGAGTCCGTCATACCCCCCAAATAGTGGTATTTTCTTCTCACGCTTCTAAAATCAACCGATCTGAGATTCAGAAGCAGAGAACTAGCAAGCCTGCGCATGGACTGGTTGGCGGGGGATGCCCGACGCCCTCGCATTCTTCGGCAGGCTCACCACCCCTGACTTGATGCGATGGATCCACTCAGCCATAGAACGAGTTTCGAAAGCTTCCACCCCGGATTCGCCTCACATCAGCCCTCGCATCCAGGGGCTTGGAACTGAAATAGGGCTTAGGTTGCCTTGAATGAGATATTCACCACCCACTTTCTTGTGACTTGGCTAGACCGCTATTTGTTTGCCTGCTTCCAGGACAGATACATTTGCTCGGTCGAACACAAAAGCTGGGCTGCGTCATCGCCTTACCTTCGGTGATACCCTCGTCTCTCGCTGGCGAAGGACATTAAGGGAATGCATGACACACGTTCTGTTTTATTGGATTTAAGCATAGGTCCGCCGATAATGAAGGCGCGGTCGATGAATATCAAAGAGTGATAAACCCGAGTGTTCGTCTCAGGTCTTGGGTCGATAACTGAAGGCTTCTTCCCAGCTCACACTGCCATCATTCGAGACAGAGCCTGCGCACTGACTAAAGCACACGCGAGGTTCACTGGGCATCTTCAGACGGCAGCACACGTCAAGTTGCATGACAGGAGTAGTCCGCATGTAGGTAGTTCACGAAAATCGGACGACACCGATGCTGGGCCTAGCCCTCGTCTCAGCATCTTTCTCGTTGGCATGACAGTACATATCAATATTGGTTTGCCTGGTGACTTCCTTGGACATTGAATGGAACCTACAAATCACACTGACGTGAGTTAAATTCCCAACTAAAGGCTACTCCAGACTGGATCTATTATCCTACATTCGCAAAATCTCATTCCAACATCCTGCAAAAGGCATCCCGCAAGAGAATCATCCGCGATCTCCAAGATTTTCTCGGTTTCTCTTTCCGTGATGAACCGAATGTTGAAGCTTAAAACCATGTACTTGGCTTGGCTCTGCTCAATCCTGACACACCCCGTGAATCAAGACCCGAGGTCCATTAAGCTTGGTTTTAGAGCCGAGTTTCGCAGGGACTCCGCGAGTGGGCCTGCCCTGTGGATGGGCTTACTACCCCGTATTATCCAGAACGGAGTACTCCTTTCGGAGTAAGCGATACTACCTAGCAAAACAGCAGAGGACTTCAGCCAAGATGTTTAGGAGCTGGGACTTTTGCAGATCATAGCTGAGCTGATGGTTAATAGGATCAACTCAAGTACTATAAATCTAGATAGAAGTTGCTCGCTTTATGGCTTGTGTCTCAATTCAAACCATCTCAACTCGACTGCATTCGCCTTGTGCTTCTTACCTGCTTGCATTTTATAATTCCGATCTTCAATCTGCTGCGCAGAATCCATAGATCAAACCATTTTCAATCACAACACTTCGACAATGCGTTTCTCAGCCGTCATCTTCACCCTCTTCTCCGCCGGTGTCCTCGCTCAAAACGGGTAAGTTCAGACCGGTTGTGTTTTCCCTCTGAGATGAACTTGCCTTCTAATCAGGAATTTGAATCAAGATGCGGTTTCCCAGATGGACCTGACTGCCAATCCCTCGGCAAGGGCGCGAACGGCCTGGAGCAATTCGCAGACCCCGATGGCTGCTGCTTGCTGCCCCTCCGTTGCGGCAACGGCGATGGTGGCGAGAGATGCGAGCGTGTGAGCGGTGCTAGTGCTGGCGGCGCAACCAACAACAATAATGGCAACACCGGCAACACCGGCAATACTGGCAATACTGGCAACACTGGCACTGGGAGGAACGGAAGAAACAGAAACAACAACAACGCCAACAAGAAGAGGCGCATCTAGATCTTATAATAAATTGTTTACATTGATGTTGTATATAAGTATGCATCGGTATCTGAGGGTTGGCCGTCGATACTTGGTGAATCACAATTTATAATCAGTGAGATGCTGGGCAATATCAGAGTTCCTCATGATGTTCTTGCGATTTTTCTCTGTGTGCTCATGATCAAGCCTCATAAAAGACCAAGGACTCAAACGTCCTTACTTATTTTACACTCATGCCGGGCCGACTTGATTGTAGAGTAGAAAATGCATTTGAGCTAGGGGAGGTGGGCACGGAGCATTAGAAAGGCGCCTTGGCCCAGGCCAGCTGTGTTCTATCAAATACCGAGACAAAAGCGATGCCGGGTGAAAGAAAGAGACAAGTCTTAGCCCAGGCCACATTGTCACTTCTTGGAATTTCTTCCTTTGACTTCCCTTCTTAGCACTTTGTGGGCGGCTGTCCTCAACTTAATAGTGTATGAGAAAGCTTATAGATGTCATCCAGCCCCTTCTTTATTGAGACTTTGGCTCAAACAGTCAATCAACTAGGCAGCACACGTTAAATACCATTTAAGCTCAACAAAGCTCATTGCTATCATAGCTGCCATTATCAGCATGCTTGTGTTTGACCTTTCTACGTGTATTTTGTGGGGCATATACAAGAAAATCCAGCCGAAGAGGACATTAAAAGTAGCAGAGATAGTGATAGCGATAGTCTAATAGAGGCATAAATGAGAAGGTGAAAAGCAGCAGCCTGCAGGGAAGGAGCAAGAACAAACGAAATTTAGGTGGTGCCTTCCAAGTCAGACATTCCCGTGCGATCTTTTCACTTCCATCTCAACGCTCGCGGAATTTTCTTCCCGCCCACCAACCCAATTAACTTACCTACCTCCCGCCACCCACCTGAGGATCCGGATCACCTTTTATCTTCCCCTCCTCCGCCTTCAGGCTTCGTCTCGCAACAGTTCTCACCTCAGAAGAGTCGGTCTAAAGTACTTGCTCAGCTTCACTTTCTCTTCTTGACACATGATGGACGCCGCTTCGATGGACCTCACTTCGACGGACTTCGCTTCGATGGATGATGCTTCCATATCGCGTTTCCTTCGAATCCACCTGCATGGCCCAATACCTGGTGGGATTTCAGGCCCTAATCCAGTAGCCGTGGCCATGAAGCCCGTATTCGTCCGACTGCTAGAGAAATACTTGAGTCGGACAGACTCCCAAGGGTACATCACACCAATCCAGATACTACTGCACTTGATAGATGACTGAGACTGAACAGCAATTCCGACCCCGCCAACCTGGCCGCTATGCCCGAGTTGCAAGCATTGCAGGAAGATTTCTTGAGCCGAGAAGGCCGCAGGTAAATATCATACCGATCTTCATGGATGTACTTGGTAGGTGACTGACATCAAAACAGCAAGCCCTCTATGCTAGATCTCGATCAACTTCATCGACGTCTGACGTCGTACCCAGCGCATCTCCCTAACAGCGACTACCTCAAGGACCTCGACCAGAAGATCTCCTTGGTGCAACAAATCAATCAGCTGTGTGGACAGTTTCATACGGATGCCTCGATGAAGGAGCTCCACTTAGACAAGGCTTCGTTCTGGTCCACGTTGATGACCATGGACTTGGAGAGGTTGAAGGAAGTTCGACGCGAGCTTGATGATATGACCAGCGCCAAGGCAAAGATGCTTCTACTCACCGATTTCCCGGCATGGGCCATGGCAACGCCAATGCTTCTCCGTTCTTGTATGGTACGCCCCAATCCGTTGTGATTTAGGTCTATTAATTCGTTGCTCAGTCATACGAGGGTATGCAAAAGAGCCTTCCAGGCAGTTGTACCCAGCTCAGCCGTTGAGTAACACGTCCGAAGTCAAACATGTAAGTATCAGCTGCCCCTCAACGGATACTGGTAGAAGGAGGAGGGCAGAATTGACATTCTTTCCACGTAAGGTTCACCAACGCGATGGCAACCGCTGCATTATCACAAAGCTACGAGCCGTCGTCTACAATGTGATGCACATCATTCCACCTGATCTATTGAGATTGAGAGCCCAGTTGATCAAGCAATTGGAAGGGATGAGATCATGGTATACAGATGAACGCGTCGCTGCGCTCTTGAAGAAGCTTACGTCGGAGTCTTGCGACGAAAACCTCATCGATACTCGTCGTAACATGATCTGCATGCACCTCCAAATGGGCAAGTACTGGTTCACCGGAGAGTTCATGCTCAAACCAATGGGTCGCCCAGTTCGGGTTTTTGTTCCAATTCCGGCAGAAGATCCGACTGAAGAACCTCAGACGAAGGCCGTATGGGTCTTGACGTTGATCTTCCATTGGCTTCAGAAGACGGAGTTTCCGGGCATGCAGCAAACCATACCTTTCAACACTGATCCCCGTCAGCACTTCGAGGACCACAATCCCCTAGATTTTGGAGTCATTGATGTCGGCACTGCCCATCCCGTGGTCGGCGGAGAGATCATCCGAATCTTTGCCGACGACGAGAAGGACTTGCCTGACTGTGACCTCTTGGATCTGCGGGCGAACCTGTATACGGCATTCTCTCTAGCTGCTGCTGTGGACCCGAGAACCTACAAGTTTGACGACGATGGTGACGATGACGTCGACAAAGAAGGAGGCGACTTCGACGAGGAGATAGCCACTACAGCTCACATGCGGATGTGGATGAAGAAGAGGGCCAAATCACCGTCGAATCCACGGTGTCGCAATACACCTTCGACGGCTGCCGACGAACCGTCCTATGCTCACCATGATACGCAACAAGTCGAGGATCAGGTGGTGAGCCCCAATGAAGATTCAAAAGAGGATACGGCCAAGAACGACAAGACGGTTGGAGAGATTCAATCCTCTACTGCCTAGGAGGAGGACCAGGCCGAATCGTCGCCCCGTAAGCCGAACATCATCGGCATTCTCAGAAAGCGACGCCAGAGGGTGGGTGCTGTATTACGATCATTTCAGAGAGGCCTCCTGCGTCGACGGGAGGAGCGAGTCGACAAGAATGGTTCAAAGTAATCGTTCATCGTACGGAAACATTTTGTTCTCTTCCTCCCTTACTCCAGCATACCGGACTCCGTTCTTTACATGGATTCTCAAAGAGAAATCACTTCTACCATTCAGCACATGGCTGTCAATTCTTCTGTTCTAGGTACAACTCGTACTCATAACTGGAAAAGAGGAAGGGAGCAACACCTTTGAGGTCGTTCTCAAACAGGGGCATGCTAGCATAGTACTAGTACGAAGGATTAGAATCGAGGGCCAATCAATGTATTCATAGCATGGAATGATTTTTCACATACCTCAAACGTGCCGTTGGAGCTCAAGCTACCCGTCTGCACAGTCCATCCCCAGACGAGAGCATTATCGCTCTTACGCGTGTCGGAAAACGTGTCCGTCATCAACTTGTATCCGCTAAGCGCAGACTTGAGATAATTGTTGCCTTCGATGTAGCCCAGACGAAGACTCTTGAGAAGCCCATACACAAACATGGCGGACCCAGAGCTCTCAATGTAGTTTCCCCACTGGCCCTCAGTACCGGGCGTCATGACGAGCCACCATCCCTTTGTCTTCTCATCCTGCGCAGCAATAATGGCGTCCGAGACGTGCTGCAGATACCCAACCAGACGCTCGCGGGCCGGATGGTCCAGAGGGAAGAGCTCAAGAGTGTCGACAAGAGACATGACATACCACCCGACAGCACGGCCCCAAACATTAGGCGAGGCGCCCGTCTCCGGGTCGGCCCAGATGGCCTTCTTGCTCCAGTCGAAGCCGTGCAGCGGCAGGCCGTTCGTCGCGTTACCGAGGATCGTACCCGCGGTGATGAGGTCGAATTGCAACGCGATATCGTCCCACGCGGTGGTGTTATCCGGCTCGAACTCGGCGGTCCAGCGGGCGTAGAAGACGTCGAGCATGTAGATGCCGTCGAGCCACATCTGGTCCATGTAGACGGGGTAGCGGTGGTAGAAGCCACCGTCCGGGGAACGGCCTGTGCGATCGATCTGGTGACGGAGGGTCTGCGCCGCGGTCTTGTAGATTTCGTCGCCGGTAGCATTGTAGATGTCGAGAAAGGTGTGGCCGAAGCGGATGTCGTCGATGGAGTTGCTGTTGTTGTAAAGGAGGATCTCGCCGTCTTGAGACGGGTAGAGAAGGATGTCTGTGGCGTGCTTGACGTAGTCATAGTACCGCTTGTCGCCGGTCCTCTCGTAGGCGCGTAGGACGCCCGAGTAGAAGGCTGAGATTGTGTAGGCGTAGGTCGGCTCTACACCGTGCTTGATTTGGGAGTCGGCCATCCATGTTAGGTACCGGGGCTCGCCGTCGAGTTTGCCGGGTTTCAGCTTCTCGTCGGGCGCGATGGCGAACCAGCCATTGGGGAGGGAGATTGCTGCGGATGAGAGGGCGACGCTGGCCAGCGCGGTGGCTGCGAGGGAGGTGATCTTCATGTTGACGACTACTTGACTGCTGCCCGGCTAGATGTTTGATGTTGCCAACGTGCCAACGGCTTGGAAGACGAAGAACAAGCCGACGAGCGTAGCCTTCCATCATGGCATCCCCTAATGTTGACTATTTATAAAAAAGCTTGCCTCCTAATGGGAGCACCACTAAGCTTAAAAGATCTCGTGAAGTTCTGCCATCTTCAAGGTTCCCCTCATTCTGACTCCTTCCAAGATCGGCCAAGAGCTGGTCAATTTGACTGAGTCGTCTTCGGTACCATTCCATCTGCAGCTTTGCTTATCCGATGCGTTCATATGAGCAAAGAGCAAGAGGTCGGTATGGAGAGAGCCACTCTTGGCATCTGATCAACCTAGGAGAGCGAGGCATGATGTCAAGCCGGGGACGACATAATGGAGTTGGTTCGAAGCTCCGGAGCCTGACGGAAAAGCAGGTCTTTCTAAGACTGCGGGGCCAAGACAAGATCTTAGTTCACGGCGAAGTTTGCGGGGAAGGTCGGGAGAAGAGACCGGCCGGAGCGGGGAAACCAAATAGTCTGCTCTTATGCTTAATTTCACCCCAGGGAAACCCCGTACAAAACATGGAGGTAGTTCAGTTTGGGATGAACTGAATTTCATGGCAAGCTCAGATGATATTCAGTTGCCGTCGGTTTCTATAGCTCAACGGCAAGAGGCTTCACTCTCGGCAGAATCTCCAGTCTCTATTTGCAAGCTGCTCTTATACGCGACTGTCTTACAAAGAACCCCCCCACGACACTCCGTGTAGCGGAGCGGTAGTCGTCAGCCGGGAATATGTCGAATATCCCCTATCGGCTCCTTCCCAGTTGTTCATGTTGCATGCAAGATGTCGCTGTTTCTTTGGAAACTCGGCACTCGTGTTCTCCAAATTGCCGATGAGTTTATACACCAATCAGAGTGACGACTGGTGATGTATCTGGCAAATGGGACCTGGCAATTGAAAGTGAGAATTCATACGATTCGATTGCTTCGGCGACCGTTAAGCCGGATGGCCTGTCCCCAGTTCTTGGCGTTTTCTCCATTGTGAGAAGGCGGTGACGCCGATTCATACTGAATCTATCATGCAACATCAGCATCGCCATTTTGCCAAGCCTACCGCACCTGGACTTTTCCGTTCACAAGGCCAAGCACTTTTCCGCGCTTTCGGAAGCTCACGATGATCTTTCCTCCTGGTTCCATGGAAGAAGTCGTATGTTACTCTCAATCTACTAATGATAGCCGGGAAGCCGAGAGTTCATATGATTTGCAGCAGCCAGCCAGAAGTTTTCCATTTGCATATAAGTCAAGGTACTGTCCTGCGATTTACCAGGCTTAGCCTAGTGCTCATGATTGCCCGAGAGCCAAAAAGTGATACCAATCATGTGCATAATCGAAGTGATCTAAGGAAAGATTTAGCAGTAACCCATCGTTATTCTGTTCTTATTCCTCGATGTTTTCCCCGTTATTCATGCTTTGTTCAGCCCATGCGGTCGGAAATCCAATTTGATTCAGGTTTCATTAATGATGAGTCCAGTCTGTCATGGACAGGGCAACAAGCGAGTAACGAAATAACTCGTCGGCCAAATTCAACTCTCTTTATTCTCTTATAAATTTTGTTGTCCTCGCTCTCTTTTCAAGGTGTCATAGTATGTCAGGTTCAGGCGTTGATTGCTGCCCGCAGTTAATGGCGCCATTTCGGCGACATAAGCATTTTCTTGCGAATACGTATGTAAAGAACAACCTAGAAAAGAATAGTGATGTTGATAGCATCAGTGGTAGAGGCAAGGTAGAGGTAGTGAGGATGCGCCGAGCAGTATGTCATCCCGTCACCGACCTAGGAACCCAGGTTGAGATAAAGTGGTACTCCTAGTGACGAAACTGAGCTTAGTCTTAGAGAGGTAGCAAATCCACTCTTCTTACTACACGACAATCACCTATATATACCTGATATTAGGACATTAGCGAAGATAGCTCACCATCCACTTTTCCCATGCGTCTCTCACCTTATCATCGTGACCGTGGAAATTAGCGTGTCTGGTCACCTGGGCGTCGGCTCAAATACACTAAATCTTGACTCAATCATGGATCAGCGGGTCCCTCTACCCGTCCGATCAAGTGCCGGTGCGAGCGGGACGCCCCATACGTATTTCAACGAAGATTGCCGAGAACGGGCAAATCTCGAGCTGCTGGATGAGTGGGATAGGGGTCCGTCCACCACAAACTTTCTAAAAAGCCTCATTTTCGACCTCGAAGAACTCCACTTCACCAATCACGTCAGTCATCTTCAACTTCACTCATTCTCTCTTCTCAACTTCCTACCCAACGTGAAAGCCCAAGACCACTCTAGACAAAAGTCCCACCCCACACGAGGTGTACTTACTCAGATACAAAAACTCATTCAAACCAAACCAATAGGTATTTCTTATCTAACCACAATGGCGGACTCACCAAGAACAATCCATCAACCAATCCACCCCTCCGTCCGCGCCAAGCTGGACCCGGAATACGTCGCCCTCCACGATTCCATCATCCAGTACATGGAACCCTCCGAAGCCCGACCCTGGGACCCGGCCTCGCGATCCGCGCCCAACCCGCTCGCGCACACGACGCAGAAGCTCTCACCCGTCGGCAAGCAATGGGACGAGGACATCGGCGGCGACATCCACGTGCGCGTCTTCGTGCCCGAGGGTCAGGCGCCGTCGGAGGAGGCCGGGTGGCCGTGCTTGGTCTGGCTTCACGGCGGCGGGTGGGTGAATGGTGGGTTGGATAGCGAGAACGGCTTCTTGACGCATGTTTGTAAATGTACGTTAATGGTTTTCTCGACTCTCTTTTCTCCATCCCTCCCACTTCTTTTTGCGCAACTTGTCCTGGCCGCCTACAAGAGGAGATGAAGATTATTGGAATATGGGAATGTGACTGTGAGTGAGCGCGAGCGTTGATAAGAGTACCAACAAAAAAAAACAGATGTAAAGTGCGTCGTCGTCACGATAAACTACCGCCACGCCCCGGAACACGTCTACCCAGCCGCCGTAGACGACTGCCTCACAGGCCTGAGATGGCTCTACGAGCCCTCCAACGCCTCCCGTCTAGGCATCAACACGTCCCTCGTCACCATCGGCGGTCTCTCAGCGTTTGTTATCCCCTTCCCTTATTCCCCCCTTATTTTGTCCAGAACCCACGGAACCCCTCCCACTAACACACAAAGCAGAGGCGGCAACCTAGCCGCAATCCTAACAATGAACCTCACCCTCTCCCCTCGCCCCCTTCACCCACCGCCCATCTCCCAACTCCTAATCTGCCCCGTTATCGACTCAACCGCCACCGCGTCCACAGGCTGGTCCGCCACCCGCCACGTCCCCTGGCTAACACCCACCCGCATGGGCTGGTACCAAGACCTCTACTTCTCCCGCGGCGACCTCGACAAGAAGCAGTGGCAGGCCTCGCCGTGTTTCGCTCCGCGCGAGCTTCTGGCCAAGAGTCCCAAGACGTGGCTTGCTGTTGCGGGTGTGGACTTATTGACGACGGAGGGGTTGGCGTATGCGGAGTTGCTGAAGGAGAATGGGGTGGAGGTTGAGACGGAAGTGTATGAGGGGGCGACGCACTCTGTGCTTGTGCTTGCTGGGTATGTTTTTGAAAAGTTTCTTTTTTTTCTTTTACTTTGGTTTGCTCGTTGAGTTGTTTGCTTGGATGTGGACTGATAAGCTGACTTTTCTACCTTTTAGTGTACACCAAATCAGCAGGAAACTCGTCCACGACGCGTGTGCCATGCTGGCCAAGGGTTTCGGAACCTCGTACGATCCTGCGGCGGCTCCTATTCTCTCGCAAGATGAGTAATCTTGTCCAGAAAGAGGAGCGAGCACCAGGCTTTGGGACGGTGGCGGAGCAAGCTTCGTCTTGAAATCACAAAGGCAGAAAGCCTAGGTCATCAGGTTTTGTCTTTCAACCAAAAGGGGGAATATCACACAGAAAAAAGGTGATGAAGAAACATGAACATGGTATTTGTCTTTTTATATCGTAATTATAAACCACGTAACCGTCAAAAGACTTGAGGGAAACTCGTGATATTCCCGTCAAAGTCTAAGAACATAGTTGACGTTAAAGACGACCTAGTCTATTTTCCTAGGAAACGTCTTTTGTGTATTATGCTTGGGGGTGAAAGGAAAAGGGGGGGAAAAGTCCGTGACGAATATTGAGGACCGCCTCGAGCAGTCACTACACGCCACGTCCGAGACGTAACCATCACGACGCCGTAAGAAGTTTCTGCAACTCGGCAAAACGCACCGGCTTGGGCAAAAACACGTCAAACCCAGACGTCTCGGCATCCCTCCTCGCATCCGCGCTCGCCAGCCCCGTTAGCGCCACCACCGTTGTCGCCTGCAACCTGTGTTCCCGTTCGTACTCGCGTATCCTCTTGGTCGCTTCGAACCCGTTCATGATGGGCATGCTGATATCCATGAGCACGAAATCGAACTTCCGCCGTTTACTAGCGCTCGCCTCGATAGACGAGCTCGACGCCTCGATAAACCGGTCGAGTGCCTCCTGCCCGTTCTCAGCCTGCTCGTACGTGAAGCCGCACTTCTTCATAAACATGACGAGCAGCTTGAGGTTGATCTGGTTATCGTCTACGAGGAGGACGTGCAGCGTCACGTGCTTCTGTTCCACGAGGACGGGCTGGCCGCCGTTCAGAGCCGGGGAGAGAGCCATTGCGCCCAGGGGCTTGATGAGGGGTTGCACGCCTATGGCGGGTTCGAGTTGCTCTGGTCTGGCTTGCTGGTGGAGCGGGGTGCCGACCCGTTCGACTTGGCGAATTTCGTTGTTGCCAGGGGTGGTGCCGTCAGGGGCGAGCGGTACCGGAGCCGGCAGCCCGGATGAGTTGCGTGTCATTGCCTGACTTTTCTCCAGCTCTTCTACCCGCTTGAGGCAGTGGCTAAAGACCTTGGCTAGTTTTCGTGGGCCGCATCTGCAATTCTGAGTTAGCCTTGGGGTACAGAAACGAAGGTATTCATCACAGGAGTTGTCTACTTACGGTTGCGGTATCACCTCGACGATTTCTGAAAAGTCCAATAACAGCTTGCTGTGATCCTGAAGAATGTTAACCGCCTCTTCTGCCGTCGGGCACACAATGATGAAGGGCGCCTTCCTCTGGCTAGGCGACCTCCGTGAATTCTCCTTGAAGCGCTTCTCCAGCACCTCTACCGAGGGAGGCTCGGAGTAGAGGTACATATCGGCACCTGGCGGATCGCTGGGGCTCTCCTTGATGACCTCCATCTTGAACCAATCGGAGCACGTCTCCGCGAGGATCTGGTTCAGCTTCGCCGCGTGTTTCGTCATAGGCGGAGCGTCGGGGGTACGCTCCTCCTCGAGGAGGACGATCTTCATCCCCTTTGTCTCGTTGACGGTGCTGCGCATCACCTCGTCCGGCTCGCGGGGCCCCTCCGTGTCGTCGGATGCGGACGTGAAACTGAGGTGAACATCGAACTCGGTGCCTCTGTCCTGCTCGGACCTGACCTCGAGGCTTCCTCGCAACGAGTCGACAATCTGCTTGACGATGCTGAGACCCAGGCCCGTGCCGGGCTGGAATGAATCCTCCTGGCTGAAGGGGAGGAACAGTCGGGTTTGTTGGAACTCCTCAGACATGCCCTTGCCAGAGTCCGCCACGCGTATCATAGCGTCAATCTTTGTTCCCTCAGATCTCGTCTGGCCGGTCAAAGAAACAAGAACGTAGCCTTGCGTCGTGTACTTCAAGGCGTTCCCAAACAAGTTCATGATAATCCGCCGGAGGGCGCCAGGCTGCGCTTTCACCAACCAGGGTATCTTCGGGTCGACGTCTAGCAATATTGATACAGGACCCTTGGCCCCCGGCGCTTGGAAATTGCCTACCGACCTCACATTATTTGTCTCCTTGACACTGATGCTGGGCTTGGGTCCATCTAGGGAGCCCGCGCCGACGAGCTTCTTGAAGGCGTGGCCCGCGGCGATGGCGTCGACGACTTCCTCCACGAGAACAGCGAGGTCCACCACGGAGGACATGCTCAAGCTTTCGAGCGAGTCTGACGTGATGGCGGCCGGCCTATTCTGGTTCTGCTTGGCGCGCCGTCTCATCTGCGCCCGTCCGAGCCTGTTGATCTTGCTGTAGTCGAGGACGTGGTTGAGTGTGTCGAGTAGCGTCTTTCCGCAGGTGGCAATGGAGCTTATGAGGCCCGATTGGTACGCGTCTGTGCTGGTATCTTGGAGAAGCTCGGCGGATCCGAGGATGCCGTGGAGGGGACTACGGAGTTCGTGGCTCATGCTCGCGATAAAGGTCGTCTTGGCAGCCTCGTTCTTTTGGCTGTTGATGCGGCCAACTTGGGTCATGATACTGTTGCTGAACGCGCGGAGGTACGAGAGGTCCTGATCGAGATTCATCATGCGGCCGGTGACGGAGGTCCAGAGGAAACAGCCGCCGGCTAACCTGTCTTCGCCGTAGTCGAATAGGGGCACGAACACCACTGTCTTGGCTCCGGGTATCTTCTTGAGGAGTTCTTCGTGAACCATCTTGACTTTTCGCCGTCTGCCTTCGGATTTGTCGGGCCGAGTTGCGCCGTCGACACCCATCGTCTCCCTATCGCTGGCACTATCGTCACCGGAAGACACCCCTAGTCCGGCTTCGGTGAAGGAAAATGTCTTGCCCATGGGGAACATGGAAAAGTACTTTTCGAGAATGCCGAGTGAAAGCGCCGGGCCCTGCTCGATGCGGGCACGCGCGCGCTCGTCAGCCACGGAGAAGCTTAGAATCTTGCACGGTCTGGAGGAGGGCGAGGTGTCAGAGTCGGAGCTGTCCAGCCCAGAGCCTGACGTGGCGGGTCGTGTAACGTCCTCTTCGTCCGAGGACTGATTTCTGCCCGACCTCGACTGGCTGCCGGGCGTAGCAGTCGTTGCCGTGGCTCCGAAGAAGGCTACGCCGTCAGCCAGCGTCGAGTGCCGAAGGACCTCTGCTGCGCGGGTGAAGAGTTTCGATAGGCCGTCTACCCTCGGCTGGTATGCCTTCTTGGGCGATGGCGGGTTCTCGGTGCTGGGCCCCGGAGGTTCCGTTTCCGTAGTATCGCTTTGCGGACGAGACGAAGAGGATTCTCGAGACCGGACGATAGCTTCGGCGTTGCGAAAGTACGAATTCGATCTCGGCATCGGCCGTCGGGTCGAGATGAGCGGCATATCCGGTGGTCGCACCGTCGAGGGGCTCCTCGGTATGTCGTCCTTTACAGGATTTGCGTCTTCGTTCATGGTGGAACATCCTTCGATAAACGTGGCCAGTCCTCGCACTATCCGCTCGCCCTTAAATCTGTCGACGCGATCCCGTGCCCACTCCAAATGTTCCATGGCCGTTTGCGCGACGCCCTGCATGAACCGGATCTCCTCCGCTGTGAGTCCATTGTGTGGTCGTTCATCGGAGACGGCAAAGGAGCCAATCTTGTGGCCGCTGCGTGAGATGATGGGCACGCCAGCGTAGAAGCGAACGCCGGGTTCCGAGACCACGTAGGGACGTTGCGCAAATCGAGGGTCGAGGCGGCAGTCATTGACAATGAGTCCGGTTGCCGTATACGGGCGGCCCTTGTGGTCTAAACCTGTGCAAGTGTTCACCATTGAGTGTTCGCAAACAGCATCGGGACGAGAGAGAATGGTAGCGCCGACTATAAGATCACAAACTGTCAGCATAGGACCACCCAAGATGAACCGGCCCCCTTCTTCCCGTGTGTCTGAGCCTGACAATGCACACTGGAAATAGGATTTGAGCATGAAGCCAAGAATGTGTGTGAAAAAGGCTTTCGACATGCAGCGACGGCGGATAGCTCTAGAGGCAGGCCGCAACCGCAGCCACAGCCGCAGCCGGGACTGAGTGGTGTGGTTTTTCCCAAATGGAGAGGCCTACGTACGCCACAGTTCATTATCACTGCTTGCCTGGTCATCGTCGTCGTTCAAGCCGCTGCTATTCGAATCTTGCAGATGCTCAAAGTCTCCGAGCTGAATGGTACGGGTACCCTCGGCAAGAATAGTCTGGGTGGTGGTATCGATCAGCGACACCATGGCCCGCTTGACGTTAAGCTTCAGGACGGCGAGCTGGGCAAAAGCCGTGAGAGCCTTGTCGGCCGAGGCCTTTGGCTTGTAGCCGTTGCCATGTAAGTCCGGGGCGGCGATGCTGTCGACATTGAGGGCGACGTTGAAGGAGGAACCTTGGGCGACCTGCCAGCTCTGGAGATATCGCTGGACCTCCCGCTCGCGCTGGGCCTCGGACATTGGATTGTGGGAAGAAAACGCACGCGGATGCGCGCGCACAGCAGCAAGCACACCGCACAGGGGTGGTGGGTGCGATTCTCTGTGGGGGTGTGTAAGGTTTGAGCTGGCTTTGGCGAGGGAATTAGAAGGAAAGCGAGTGAGAGGTGAGAGCGAAAATGAGGATGAGGATGAGCGTTAGTGGGTGGGTGTGAGACTGAGACTGAGAGTGAGATTGAGAGTGAGAGTGAGAGGAGCGTAGCCGTGCTCTGATGTCGAGGGGTAGCAAGCAGGGGGGAGAGCGGCGGTATTGGCGGCTCTCGTCTACCCTGGCCTCACTCTATGTCTCTCTCCTCAGATTCGTTCTGCGTCTTTTTCTCTCTCCCTTTTTCCTCCCGAGGCTTTGTTGCTTAGGTTGGTTTTTTTTTTCTGTCAAGAGGGGACTTTCGGAGTGACAGTCCGGCGGGGAGCGACAAACTACTACGCTCGTGGACCTCGCGTGGCCACGGGGTGCATTTGGAGAAGGGGGAGGGGCACGAAGGAATGCGGAAAGGCGGACGAAGTGAAGTGGCACCTAAACCATTCCG